TTTGAGAGAGAAGGCAATGTTTCTAAAAGTCTAAACCTAAAGTTTCAATCTGTCAAGAAAGTTGACACATCATATTATAAAACATTTGTTCAGCCCCAATCATAAAACACGAAAAATGTAATGAGAATTTATTGTCAATTAATAATATTGAAGAAATATAAAGCGTTTTTTACTAATTGCTCCAATTCGAAATTGCGCTGTAAAATTAGAGAAGCCATACATTTTGGAAGTTAATTTTAAATTAATAAAAACAATGATCTAATGACCCGCAGGGGTCCATCTGCTGCAAAGTTACTTCGATATAAAACCAGAAAACATATAAATTACCTCCATGTACGGTGATGGTTACAAAGTTCTGCTCCACAAATAATCATCACCCACATCCCAATTGGTAAAGACAATCGCTATTAAGTCGCTCCTTGATTGAGAGTGACTCATGTTATGTCGGCATCACCAACTAACAACTAGGAACAAGCGTCTGACAATTTGTGGCGCCACTGTTAATATATATTTATATACTTGCCTGGAGTCATTTTATTTTACTCATGTGCACCTTATTTTGGAGAAAATATCAAAAGTAATTGCAAGTTCTAATAAATAAAAATTAATTTACATTTTTATAATTACAAAAGAAGTATTTTTTAAATGTTAGTTTATAAATATTAAATATTGTTGCAAAGTAGCACGAAATAGCACTGTATAATGTTATGTGTAAGGATAGCAATATTACGATGTAATATTTTTAGTTATTCTTTGGTGTATACTGATAAAAATGCTCTCAATTTCAGAATAGTCACTATTTCAGAGGATTCTTCTTCTTTTGCAGCATTTTTTTCTCTTACATATATATATATATATATATATATATATATATATATATATATATATATATATATATATATATATATATGTAAGAGAAAAAAAAAAAGAAAAATATATATATATATATATATATATATATATATATATATATATATATATATATATATATATATATATATATATATATATATGGACACTAAAGTATTTCTATCTAATCGAGAGGACTTTCCTCTTTCACATTTATCTTTAAATTACACTTTTTAAGTAGTTGCCATTTTTGAGCTAAGATTTGGAAAACATTCCAACTCAGTATTGACGCATTTATTTTTTTTTATTTTTGGTACAAGAAGGAAGTTGTCCAGAAAATAATAAATAATCAACAAATTAATTCAATAAATTAGTAACAATATTCCTTTTTCAAGGAAAAATAACAATTATGCAAAATGCAACTTAAAAAATAATTTTTGTATAACTTTACAACCTTTGCTTCAAATTTTTTCTGTACTGCCAAGTGTCAACCTAAAATAGAAAAAGTGAACGTCAATTCTGAGTTGGCATGTTTTTCAGACCTCAGCTCAAATGGCAGGTTTCTCAAATGTTTTTTGAAACGGCACGTTTTTCACGAGTAGTCTGAATTGGCACCTTTCTGCACCCAACCGACGATATTTTAATAATAATAAATGAAAAAATAATTACCAAACACTCTAAATATGAGTCAGTGTAAATTTCACTGATTTAAATTCAGTGGAGGAGTTTTCTTTAATGAATCAGTGAAATTTTACTCAGAATCAGTGGTTTTTACTAATTTTCAATATTCCACTGAGAAAAAATGAAAAGTTTTTTTTTCTCTGAGAAAACAATTTTTGGTATATAATGCAAATATACATAGTCATAATCACGATATTATAACATTATATGTTGAAACAAAAAGAATAAAATTTAGAGAGTTAAATTTTACTCTTCTTTTTTAACCCCTTTACTAAATTAATGGTAATTTGAATTACAGGACAAAAAATCCAAAATAAAAATGTTCAAAGTAAAAAACTCCAAAATAAATAAAAACGTTCAAAATAAATAATAAAATATGTGAAAAAGCCACGTTTTGACTTTTTACGCTATAAAATCGGAATTTAAAATGTTCATTTTAAAGTCGCAGGATTTTAATTATTTACATAAATAATAAAATTCTACTTAAAAATTCAGTTATTTTCATAAATAAAACAATTTCTAGAACTAGAAAAATCTCAATTATTATATAAAATTTTTAAATAAATTATTCCAAGAAATACCATTATTTTCAACAATTTTGATACAATTCTTTACAAAAATTCAATTATTTTTTTAAATATAATTCCAATTAAATTACTCGATTAAATTAATTATATTCAGTTTATAATATTAAGTTTACGTTATCGAAATAAGCAACTTAAAAAATGACAATTTCATTCAAGGCAACCATTTGAATTTTTATATCTCATTTTTTTCATTGGATTTTTAATTTCTTTGGACTTTTTGACCAGGACAAAAAAAACCAAACAATAAGTCTAAAATAAAAATTTCATTTACTTTGGATTTTTTGTTTTGGGCTTTTTGTCCCTTTAGGAGTAAATATTTATGACAGTCAATTTTTGATATTTAAACACCGAAAAAAATAAAATCTCAAAGTGAGAAGAAATTCCGCTTAACAATTATTTTTACATTTTATTTTTAATATACGAATATTCATCTACGAAAAAGAGGAATTTTTGTTTATATTTGAAAGTTTTTTAACTAAAAGATGAATTTTAACCTTTCTTCTTTGATTGAAATTATTCCTCTAAAATTGAAACAAATTTATGCCATTAGAAAGAAGATTTTTAAGTTGTTTTTTGTTTTTCTGAACGCAGCTTCAAACTGTTTAAAAAGTGACATTTAATGGAAAATATAAAAGAGGAAAATTCTCTCAATTAGAAAAAATGCTGCAAAAGAAGAGGAATAGTCTAAAATTGAAAACATTTTTTTTCGGTGAAGTTTTTTTATTTATGAAACGAAATATATTTACGCATATAACTGATAATACATTTTATTCACAGAAAGCATATTTATAAAGAAGTTCGACCGTCGGCTTATCATAAAAAAAGTATGGTTGATACAACCACTAATATTGCAAAATATAAGGGGTGTCTACTTTCTATATGGTTATTACATCCACTATACTGTAAATAAGAAATCTTATTTCAAGTCTGATTTTGACTAAAACAACTTACAGTATAGTGTAACTGTTAACTAAATGTCTGATTAGAAAAGATTTTAAGACCTAAAATTGTCGTATTACTATATTTTAAACCTATAAATAAGTTGAATTTAAGGAAAAACATGTTTATGTTGTAAGTTACTTTAAAACTTTGTTTTTCCAGTGATATCTCTATACACTAAATTTTAATCAGTTAAAAATAACTGATTTAGAAGCAAACAGTTACTTTTTACTATTTAAAAAAATAGTAATTGTAATAATAATGTTTGCAGTAAATTTTTTTAACTAATTCAATTATTCAAATTTGACTAATTTTTCATTTATTTTTTTTTTACTGAAAATCAGTTATTTTTAATTGATTCAAAAGCAAACAGTCAATCACTGATTCTCAGTTAAAACTATGCGATTTTTAACTGCGATTTAAATTTATAGAGAGCAATTAGCAGGTTCATTTCGTTGGTTGACAGACCCATATTTTTTTCAATATAACTAGTTGTAAGTACCAACCATATTATCTACACTGAAAAAAATATATTTATGGTACTGCCATTAATATGGCCAATTCTCAATATTATATTGGTGGATATAGAACAGCCATACAGTATTGCTGTTTCAGCCATAGGCAGTGTAGAACAGCCATATTTATGTGAGAGACAGTAATATGTATGTGAAGAACACCAATATTGTATTTGAAGAACGCAGAAATACAGTATTGCTGTTTCAGCTCTATACGTCCTAACTATACGAGTATGACAAAATCGACAATAGGTATCATTTTTTTCAGTGTACACCTATGATTTTTTCCTGTAGGTGATTTGTTTTCTTTTAATCAAAGTTCTTTTTTAAATATATATACATATGATAAATACATTGATGTTTATTGAGAAAATAAAAGTTGCGTCATTTTTTCTAAAAATTCAACTATAGTTTGGGTAGTAATGTGAAAAGTAGTTAAAATAATTATTGTTTTACTTATTCTAACACTGTTTTTAAATTTAGAATTCAGTTAATTAACTAAGAAATGTAGTGAAACTACAAAAATAACTATACGAAATCTGATTGCACCAACTACATTCTTAATTCTTATATCTACATTTTGATGGTTAATACACGTTTTTTAATATCTTTGAGGACTTATTGAACTACGCAGGGTATAATTAAAAAGTAGTCGAATCTACTAGGAATTTTTTTCTGTGCAAACAACTAATGAATGACAACTGCAAGAAGTATTTTGCAACATCATATGGTAATCTCAAGATGTTGCATTGTTATTAGCGTGATTTGCTAGCATTATTGGTTTATTAACGAATCATTTGTGCCCATAATGCATTACAGTTGCGAGTCTATTAATTATATACACAAAGGACTATCTCGCTGATGGTAAAATGTTTATCTAATATATAACCGCATAATCGTGAAAGCACGAAATTTTATCTGAGTTTTCTACTGTTCTCTACTTTCCTCGCAAAAAAGTAATTTCTTCAGATGCAGAAAGCACACCACGAAGTCCCTAAAGCTCCAGGGACTATGTATAACAAAGTATGATTGATATCGTTTGTCATTTGCATATCACGCTTACTACATGTGCTCATATTATTTTATTCATGGGTATAGCGCATCTGCTTTCGCGAGTTTTCGCTAGTTTTCCGCAATGAAACAAAAAGTTTAAACTTGACAATATTTATTGTTATTGCAAGAATTACGTAATTACTAGTTCTAAGGAATACTTTATTAATCTGTATCGGAAAAAAGTAAGTTGGTGCACGATACATTTTATGACTGATGTGCAGTCAGGGGAATCGAGAATGGAATCAGGAGAGCCGAGTGGTTTCGCATTAAATGCTGAAACTGAAAAGGAGAGTGTATTTGGTTGTGGTACATTGTATGCACGGGCAGAGAGCACGGCGTGTAATATGTGTCCTGCTCGCAGCAAAGTGCTCAAACTACAGCAGATAAACGTGCACGTGCACGCACACGGGACCCGCGAGGCGGGGGTGTATCAGGAGAATGGTGTCTGTATGCGAGGGTGTTGAGCAGGGATGCAGGGCGGAGCTTGGGCGGAGCTTGCACTGAAAATCCCGGCTTCCTCTTTCTCTCTCTCTCTCTCTCTCTCTCTCTCTCTCCAACTTTCGTCCGTCATCGCTTGAGTCTCTCTACTATCAGATCTGTTAACAGCAGTCGCCGTCGAGGCACCCACTATAACGTCTTCTCCCTTGTTGGTCAACTCTATTTCCTGATCCTGACTTGTCAAAATCAGCGGCGAGGTTCCCGCACCGACTATATGCCACAACTAACTTTGGAGAGACATTCTTAAAAAAGTTATGCCAAAAAGTCAATACCAATTTTAGTCAAAAGTGATTAATAATGACAGATCGTTAGACAGTGGACAACTTATACGAAAATTTTCAATGCTTCATAAAAATTGCCATAAATCTCTGAACTGAAAGTGGAAGAATTTTTCAAGTCATGAAAGTGTTAAAAAAGTGAACTGCGATGTTTATTTTAGAACTGACACGTTTGATCTTTTAAAAATATTATGGATTTTCTTTGAACAAGTTTGCTAGGGTATTTTTCTTTGAGAACTTTAAAAACAGTGAGTGAACGAAAATTGAATTGCACTGCTTAGATGGTGCTTAGTGGAGGTTTCAGAAGGTGCAAAATAGAGTTTTAAATATGATGGAGATACAGCAACAACACTCGCCAGTTGGGGTGGGTCCTCTCGATTTTTCTCGACGAGGTGTTGCTGAGGCTTCAGCATTTCGTGTCGTAAAGCCAAAGCAACCAGCTTCTCTTATTCATCAGCAATCACTGCTTTCAGAGACCAATAATAATGAGAATCTGCAGGAGAGTCCTCAAGTACTTTCGGACATTGAAGGTAAGAAACGTATTCAAAGAATCAATCTCATATCTTAAGATATATATTTCATTCAAGTGTTGCATGTCAAGCGATCGTCGATCAACCAATAATTTTGACAAAATCACAAATATCTTCCAAGTAACAATTAAAACAATTGAATTTTATATAGTCTTAATCTCCCTTCGTTTATGAAAGGAAACAAAAAAATACATGACATCTATTTACTTGACATGCATCACTAAAAGTTTTAGAAAACTAAGGGTATGAAATTGAGACAAAAAACGAATCAAAATGTTGCTTTTGTCTCAATTTGATATCAGCAGAAAAACTGCGAATTGTCTTGTTTTAAATTCAATTTAAGCTATATACGCACTCAGATGTTTCAAAATTTTGCAGGGAGTTCGCAAGAAGTTTGTACGGACTCGCAACAAACTTGCATTCTAAATCTGAGTGAATAAAAATTTCACTGATTCAAATTTAAAGTACGTGTGTCACATTTCCCTACTTGCCACATATTACTCCAAATCTGAGTCCAGTAAAATTTTTATTGATTCAGATTTAGAGTGTGTGGCAAATAGGAAAATTTCTGTGAGTATAAAAACTTTGCAGCAAACTTTCAAAAGTCTTCATGCTGTAAAATGTGTATATATACAGAAAAAAAATGATATTATTAATTCGGCACTGAGAAAATAATATACTTGAATCAAATATAATTATCTTTGTAATACAGTCAACCATAAATTATTTTTGAATTAAAGATAATAATTATTTGATTCAATACATAATAAGTTTGATTCAATAGAAATTACGTTTAACTCAATTATAAAATATGGTCAATTATCAAACATACTTTTTTAGTAAGGCTACTTATTTTTGAATTGAACAAAATTTTTTCTCAGTGCGACATATAAGTATGATTAGGACTTTAGTTTGAAATAAACATATACCTACAAATCTACTGCGCACGAAATTGGTTTCTTCCAAGTTTTTCAAGCTTGCTATAAAAGCTTTCTGCAAGCTTTCTGTGCGAACTAGCCAATAAGGAAACATCTTTCTATTTATCATAAATCCGAACATCGCATTGCGAACTCCCGTCAAACTTCCTTCAAAATTTTGTTCCATGTGGGCAAATTGACTTCACAGTTTTCTTGAGAGTATCTAATTGATACTAAAGTGGGTCAAATTGAAGCCAAAAATTTGGATCAATTTTTGATTTGATCCACATTTTTGGTATCAATTCTTACAATTTGATACTTTTAAGTTAACGCACTGTTAATATATAAGATTAAGAAGATGATTGTAAGAGATTTTAAGAGATTAAATTGTCTTATTAATATTCTAAGCTAGAAATTGGCTAATGTTGCGAAACAAAATACATTTAACTCTATAGAAGCTTTAAGATTTTTGTAGGAAATTAACAGTTAAAATTGCAAATAGGCAAATTTTCAAAAATTTTAGTATAAAGTTCAAATTTTTTTTTTTCAAAAGTTTTTTTTAAAATCTTAATAAAGTTCAAAAATGTTGCAGAAAAATCATATACTATATAAACTAAATAATTTTATTAGTAAATTATATATTTCAACGGATAATTTAAGCTGCGAGTTTCAGAAGGATTATTATATTAATTTGAAAAATAATACTTTTGTCATGGGCAGGGAATATTTTCTCACTTATCATCAGAGACTGCGCATTAAAAAAAATGAAAATCAATGACAACATAAGCTTCTAACTATATTTTTAATTGTTTTTTTTATGTTTTTTGCAAGCTAGTAGTTCATTTTATTATAATCATTATTATAATTAATATTTTTCTTATCATTATAAATGATATTAATACTAATTCCTTGATATAGAATGTTAAACATACACTGAAATAAAAGATTATTTCTTTCAATTTTCAAATAATCGATTACTTGTGTATTATCAAATAAATATTTACTTTAATTAAATAATTAAATAATTGGTATAAATAAAATTTATTTGATTTATAAAAATTACTTGATTCAAGTACCTATAAAAATTTATTCGATAACAGACACGTTCAAAATAATCGGTTATCGGAATCAATTAAATTCTTTTTCAGTGTATTATTTCTAATGTTAAAATCTTATTGTTTTGGCGAATAATTATAGCGCACCTTTATCAATACAATGTTAAAATTCAAAGGAACAGTTTTTCTAAACATATCAAATTGAAACAAAAAACGTATCGCAACAATTTTGATGTTTTAGTCTCAAGATTTACTTAGAAAAACTGGGGAAGTGTTAAAAAAGGAAAGAAATAACCATGAAATTCACTGTATTGAAAGATAATAATATTTTGAACTCTTTATTATTTAACATAAAAAGATTCGAATCGGTAATAGTGAAAATGACTATTTTGGAAAAATATATGCAAGATCAGGATAATGGTCTTTAGGATCATTATACTATGATTAGGATAATGATATATACCAAAATTTAAATGTATGAATTTACAAAATTTGCACATAAAACCCGAGATAATTTTGCTATTTATCGTCGGGTATCAGCATCTGTGTAGCGATGAGTAGATTCACCATTAAAACTGATTGAAAGGTGGCATGATTTTTGGGTGCGAGTTTGCCAAGTGCGAATGCCGCTCTATCGCCCCTGCCATCACACCTGTACTCGCTGTCTGTCATCAAGCTGCCGATTACCTGCCTATTAGCCTTGCAGTGCACACCGCTTCCACTGGCTTACACGATGCGACGTGTATGTGACCTATGCCCTACCTGTCAGCTCTACTGCACATCATGAATATACACCTATGTGCAGCTCGCATAGATGAGCAATTTCGCACAGCAGATAATGCTGCGAACTTGTACACGCGCCTCATCGCCTCATCGCCTCGTTGCCACGCAGGTGCGTGAATGTAATGTAGAGCTTGAGCTTTGCTCAACAGGTGAGGGGATGAATGGAATCAGACGGCTGCCTATACTAATACCCTCCTATATTAATCGGGCTAATAGGTTGATGCAATTATATTAACCTAATTCGTCTTGTCTGATGTAGTTTGACACTTTATGCCTCTATCAAATAAGCTGAATTTATTAATGTATTTCCCATTGCAGCTACAATCTATCTTTTTAATAACTTTATAGCAATCAAGTTAGCAAAGTTTCTTTACTCGTCTACCTTAACTTTTCAATTTTTTCAAACCTTCAATCACGACATTCTTAAATTCTTTCCTGGTTAATAACTTTGTAAATAATAATTGTGTATTAACTTCAGTAAAAAATCATATCTTTCATACATTAATTTAATCTCTAAAAAGTAATGTAGTTCTAATAATTTTTTACAATATTACACTCGACGTGTAAAATTAAAAACGAAAAAAAGCAAAACGTGCTAAGTGCATTAAAATAATAATGTCAATAATTTGTGAGTATATGTTTTCAGTTAAGGACATTAACTTTTGCTTGAAACAATTGTGTCAATTGCCGAAAATAATTTTCTTTCCGTCGCGCGTCAAAACAAATCTGTGAAGTAAATGTTTTATAAACATGTAGATACACGCGCGATTATCAGAAGTCTGCTGATATACAATATAAGAAGATAAGGATATGTGCGAAACATATAGTAAAACCTTTTGCAAAATGAATGTTTTTTATTTCACGGCTGCGTGAAAAAAGAAGTCATCACACTCTGGGCTATGCTTTCTTGAGAAAATCAGATTTAACAGTAATAGATTTACAATAGTCTGATAAGAGGGGTCCGTCAGGATAATCATTGCACATGATATCACGGATGTTCGTTGACAAACACACGCACAGAATCTATAGTCGGCGCTGATGTTATCTTTCCGAGCGGTGTGCCCGGTATAGGAAAATATGATTTATTTCTGATAATCCTGTGAGTAAGATAGCTTTGCGGCTTGGTGCGTCTAATCTTCCTGTTATCGCAGTTTATCCGTCAACACTATTGGAGGGATTATGAATTTTTCGGTTTGTACCTTTCTTCGCACTTTTGCCGGTCACCGAACCTCATCAAAGATTATAGGTCGACAAAGGAAATTTAAAAAAATTTTCTTATTAAATTCACCAACCAATTCTTTCTCAATATTCTCTAAAAAAAGATTTTTTGGACTAAACTACTTTTCTAACAAATCTTAACCCGTTGCCTGTTTCCGACCCACCCGTGGGTCGTGATCATCTTCACTCAAAGTAAATATAATTTGTATATAAATTGATAGATATTTTTCTTTATATCAATATTATAAGACATTATAAGGGTCATTAATGATATTTTAGAAAATAATTGAATAATATTGAATATTAGTTATAATTTAAATATATTATACTATTTGAAAAAGTATCAGATTCCGCTGGGCATTTTGGGACAATCATGTTGTATTTTCCTCAAACAGTTAAGGGGTTAAACAATTTGTAAATGAAATATGTACATTTTCTTTTATTTGTTAGTAAATGTGTTTTCTTTCAAGGGAATAACATAAAATTATTTCGTATTGGAGATTCGTGCTTAAAATTCTCAGTGGCAAAGGAAAGGGATTTTTTAATTGTTTCCTTCTAATGAATTCTTCGAGCTTTATGGGACCATTGGATACACCACTTAAAAGTGTATGTTTTCTTTGCTTCCTATAATTTTAATTTCCAAATATTCCAGTTTTAAAATTTTCCAGAATCAATTCTTTTTCTCAGAAAGGCTTCGTTATAAGCTTATTTGATTGACGTTTAAAGGCGTTTAAAAAATATGCCTTCAATTGATGGATCTTCTGTCAATTGTTAATGTTGTCTTTTTCAAGATTACAAAAAAATGGGTACATCTATAGTTAGACACAGAAATAATTAACATCTGCCATTAAAATATAATATTACTCAAAATTTAGAAATAGACCACAGAGTTATTTCCCTTCAAAATTCTTTCAACTTTTAATTTCATAAGAATGTCACACAGAAATATATAATTTGACCTGGAATACTGTAGTTTCAACCATAAAAAAGTATCAAAAATCTGAACCACTTTTAAATTGCTATTATCTTCTAAAGTAAAAACCTTTTGAAAAAATTGAATAAGTACTTTGCATTTTCGTTTTTAATGAAGCTTTTATGAAAAAAATGATATGTCTTAAATTTGAAAGCCTATTATAAATGAAACAAACTAGGACACTTGTAGCGAATAAAATATAAGGAATGCGCAAGTTGGAAAAAAGAGAGCGAGTAATGGTTGAGGAGGCAAGGTTGATAAATAGAAGTTGGGTTTCCCTCCTTTCTAATAAAGACGCTCTTGTCGAGGGGTTGATCTCGCCTACGAACCAAGAATACCAAATTCATCAAACCCATAGCTTAGGTAATATATTCACGAAAGTGTTTAATTCAAAAATGGACGCTTTAAAAATATGGGGTTGTAGGCATTAATCTTTCTAAGCTCTGATATACTTTTGTTCGAGAGTAATACAAATGATCACTTGATTTGTTTTTACAGGAGCATGCAGCGCTCGCTTAATGTTCCCAAGAGTGTGGGGTCCATTTGCAAACTCTAATGAAATTAACAGTTTGCAGCATTTCCAGAAAAGTCATCCAGGTAAGAAATTATCACTTTCCGTATTCTGTTTTTGAAAAGTTGTTATTTCCGAACGCGTGGGATGTAACACGGATGACTTTTGCCCTATTAGGTTTCTTCAGTGCGGATGGCGGCCGGTTTTTATTTATCAGTCATTAAGAAAGACCAGTCGTCCGATGATTGGGATAAATGGTAGCACGCGTCATACCGTTAATCGGCTCTCGTCCCCCAATTGAAGTAAAATAGAGGCACAACATAGGGATTCGATTCATCGCGTAGCGTCGGTCTCTTTATTCTTTGCATGTCGGCGGTCGTCAAGTGTACCTACACTCGTCTTATTAATCGTTCCTCTTAAGTGAAACTATGAACCACACGTGACTTGCAGTCATGATCCGACCACCTGAAGAGGGTAAACAAGAATTGAATGATTGCCTTTCAGTAATTAAAATTGCGTAGAAGGGATCTCGGCTTTTAACAAGTAAGACGCTCTAATTGTTCTTCATCTTTATCATCAACTGAATGTAGTCTGATGTGTGTTTGTCACTCAGTACTAAGGGGATTTTGAGTAATTTCGAAAAAGAAAAATTCTTCCCATTTTGCCTTATTTTGAAAATGGAATATTATATAAAATTTAGAAATCACTTATATAAAATTCAAAGTTAATGCAGTATAGAGAATCCGAGGGGGATAAAGAACACGCTACAAAAGTTAATATCTTTTCTAAGAATACAGTCAAGACGTAAGGGGCATGGAACTTAAAGTGTGTAAAGACTTTAATAGCCAGATCACCACGCAGCAAACGACTAACGGACGACAGAAGATTAAAGTTGTCCGTTAACTCGATCTAATTGTCCCCTCGGTTTGGCCTTCCTTTATTAATCCACAGAGGCAACCACCATGACTGTGTTCACGACCATCGGCTTCGCATTCGCCAAGTAGCACGAGTTGAATACATCGATCATTGAAAATCTGATATAATGACGAGTTCTTCTGAAGCTAAATTGTCGACTCGTACACACTTTTATTGTGGACAACCCGTATACATTATTTGTGTGATAGTCAGATTCAATCTCTGTAATGACTGTTTAATAAAGCTTAAACGTCCAGTAATAATAAGCATAATTGATAGTGAAGAATCATTGTCGTCGCACTCATTTATTCACGAATACAAACATGTTTATATATACACGAATCAACAGAATCGGTTAATTTCATCTTACTCACTAATTTACACCCATTTTTTTAATGTGGTATATAACTTGAAAATCTAAATTGAATGAAATTTTTAATGCAGGTTTAAATGTAAATTTCGAAGAAAAAGTTTAGAATCTGTAATAGTGCTATATAATAGAAAGTATATATCAAAAGCGCTTTGATATGACCCAGTAGCTTTTCAATTGTGCCTCTATCATGTATAAATTTCCATCAAGATTAATCTGTGTGACAGCATCGTGAGAGTCTAATTTGTAGAAGCTTGAAAATCTGAGAGTGAGACCCGGACTCAGCATCTGCATTGCACGGTTGCGGCGATAAGTTTTTCTTTTGTCAGTTGTGCAACCTTTTTACTGCATTCCTGCAACATGAGATGGTACATTTGCGTACGCATACATAACATGTGCTGAGGCATCTTTCTTTGCTTCTTATTTTATTCCTCATCGCCATCTGACACTTGACTTTTATTATTTATTTCAGCTCGATTCTCTTTTCTCAAGCGTACAAAGAGAGCAAAAATCCATACGAATATAATTACGTTAAGGGCTCGTGTAAAGCAAAGTCGTATCATATTTTTATTTGATTGCTAACCCGGCCGCAACGGCAATTGGCAACCACCCTGTTCGAAAGAGGGATCTATCTTTAAATGCGATTAGTCGTTTCAAGTACAATATACTTCGGCACGTGCTCACGTGTCGCTCACACGGATTATAAATATAATATACTGAGCGCACGGCGCATCATAATAGTTGGGGAAGAACAGTATTCCATTGAGGGGGTGTCAGGTCTTACAATTATATAATTCCAAAACTTTGTCAATTAAAACGGAGCTCAATAATTTACAGCTTTTTCAAAATCTATTCCATTCTGACACTCATCTGACTTTAGTGTGGAATTAATAATCGATTATTTCAGGAGAAACAGGTTCTGTTAATCCTATTTAGAAAATAGGAGGTTGAAACAGTCCATTAACAAAATTTAACGTTGATAAATATAGGTGCATAATGTTTGCACAAACTAAGCTATCAATTACTATATTTAATATATAATTGATTAAAAAAATTACTCACGCTGAGTGTGTAAAATATTTGTCCAATTCGACAAATCAGTTTTAGAGAGTTTAATGTTTAGAAATTTATAGTCTCTGTAAGCAAAGCTTTATCAAATGTAACTATATTTATTTCTCAAGTGAAACGTCTTAGGAGACACAAGCTTCACTACAGTTCATCCTGTCGTCTTTTTAGTCCCACCCGATTCCGTTTTCTGCTCGCGATGCCTCGTTAGTGCTACACAACCCCTGCCAGAAAAGCTGCTACGTGACTCAAATCCCATTCTTGTAGAGACTTTTTGCTGGAAGACACTATGTTTGTTCGAAATTCTTCTTTGTTGGCCTTCTTCAGTGACCCTATATCTTTTTTCCAAGTTTCTGGCACTATTACTATTTGTAAGAAAGCTGCTATTGATTTGTATTAAAATCAGAAAGTGATAATTAAAAAACTGAATATAAATATATAAATTGGAAATATTAACTTTTTATACAATAATATGTCTACTTCCAAAGAACGGTTGTCGTTCGGAGTCGGGCGCCTTGTGGGATCACCTGCAACTAGAAGTTCTTCAACATCACATTCTCCCAGTCCGGATTCCCCGCATACTGAAAACCGAGATATAGACGTTGACGTCGATGTTGAGGAAGAAGAAGTAGATGTGGATGTGGAAGAAGTCGAAGATGAAGATGAAAGAGAAGGTACTAGTAGTCCAACTAGATCACCAACACCCCCGTCACCTTCTTCAATCACACCAAGTATATTAACGTCGCTTCCTCATAAAAGGTAATTTTTCGATTTAGATAATTTTATTATAGAATGCAATCATAATTTTTCCATTGAAATTATTAATGTCATTGAATTTACTGTAAATTTTCAGAACGGGTGACTCGTTCAGTGTTAGTGCTCTGCTCAGGCCAGATCCTCCATCGGCTCACCTTCAAAATACCTCTCCTTTAAGAGAATCCGTTCCAACGTCTGTAAGTTCTGCACATCAACATCCTCCTCCGTCATCCATCTTGTACCCACCCTTACACCTGCAAGGAGGCCTTCTCCCTCCTCATCCCCACCACCCACTGTCGTACCTGCATCCACAATTATTGCCACATCATTTACTTCCTCCTCACCTTCATCCACTTTTACGAGGTGTTCATCCCGGACATCCTAGTCTACACTCTCCACATGCGGCTCATGGACTACACCATCCTCATCCCCTCGGCGATGTGTACAGCTGTGTTAAATGTGATAAGATGTTCAGTACTCCTCATGGCCTCGAAGTAAGTTTACATTTTATTTCAACTAATAACAATTTTATTTTTACTGTTTTCCAAATCTATTTTTCAATAGTACACCTTACAAAAAGGAAATCTTTATTTTAATGGCTTTCTCTAAATTTAGTGCATATGTTTCCCTCACATTTGGTATCAAAGAAATGATCTTCAATTGAGAGTCTCGCATTAATTACTTACATTAAGTACTAAATTTATTTATTTCACTTGAATTTAATGTTTTTTTATAATAGTTCTGTTTTTTATTGACCACCAAAGAATAGAAATATTCTACATTCAAGTAGAATACTTTTGTTTTGAGAAGATATTAGAAGGTATTCCTCTTGATATGATATTACTTTTTTCTGGGTGTACCATAGAAAATGATCTTGCGCTTTTCTCTCAATCGACTATATCTTGATAATAATTGAGGCCTTGGATCCAATAACTCGCCCGACGCTCGAAGGCACGCGCTAATACCAGTCGGGTAGCAGTGAGTGGCGCAGAGGCGCTCACTGCTCACTGACTGGCAGTTGCGCGTTCCTCCGAGCGTCAGGCGAGTTATTGGATCCAAGGCCTCAATTATACACTTTTAATATATAACAAAACGTGGTTCGAAGTTACTGGATATTCCCAATTAATTATATACCTACTTCAGGGCTCGAACTAGGTCCGTAAATCCCGTAAAAGTCCGTAACTTTACTTGAAGTTCCTAAAAGTCCGTTTTTTTAAGAAAAAGGTTCGTAAAGAACGTAAGTTGATTCAACCCGTGTAGAAATTGACACATTTAGGCCATAATATGGCATGAAACACCTTTCCAGATCGGGCCCAAGTCTAGCCAGACTTTGGCCTACAGAATGATCAAAAGATCTGGCTCCGATTAGGGCCATGGTTAAATTTCTACACGGGAAAAAGGATAAAAGGTTCGTAAATTGTACGATATAATTTGGATAATTTTAGAGAAATTACAAATGATTGCAAAAGTTTAATTATGTTCAAAAATTTCTAAAAATTCTCATCAAAATTTCAATTATCTTTAGAAATAATTAAATTCTTCTCCGAAATTCAATTATTTTCAAAAATTTTCCTGAAAAAATAATAAAAATTTCACAGGAATTTCATTATTTACAAATTTTTTTATAAATTTCTTCGCAGTCATTCAATTATTTTCATAAATAATAAAATTTTTACGGGGACTCAATTATTTTCATAAATAATAAAACTCGTTGCATAATTTCAATTATTTTTAATACAATTTTAATCAAATTCCTCGAAAAATTTTTCTTTAATTTTATTTAAATTCGTCAAAAGAATTCAGTTATTTAAAAATTTATAGATACAATTCTTTATGAGCATTCAATTTTAAGAAACATGCAATTACTCAATAAATTGTTATTTTTGTATTTAAATAAATGAATTCTAGTAGAATTTTCTCATAAGAATTGATTTAAAAATGGATCAGTTAAAATTTTAGATTATAATTGAATTTTAAAAGTATTAGCGTAAATTTTTAGAAATAATTATTGAATTTTGAGAAGGTTTCAGATTAAAATCTTTAAAACTTTGAATTTTTCATATTTTTAACTAACAATTCTGTGGAATTAATTTTTTTTGAGAAACTTTGATTGCGGATTTTTTTTAAAATTATTTAAAGTTTTTATTTCCTAATATTTATATTTAATTGAAGAATTTATCAATTTACGAATAATTGAAATTTTGTAAAATTGAATTATAAACAAATGAATTTGAAAATTATTAAAAAACTTTTTTGAGAATTATTAAAAATAATGTATTTATAAATGTTTAGTTAAGAGCCCCAAAAAATTCAATTGTGTAAAAGTTACAATTTATTCAAAAAAGTCAATTATTTTCAAGAGTAATAATATTCTCCGTAAAAATTAAATATTGTTGAAAAGTAATAAAATTCTTTTCAGGAATTCAATTATTTTCAGAAATATTAAAGCTCATTGCTGACTTTCAATTATTTTTAATACAATTTTAATTGAATTTCTCGAAAAATGTAATTATTCTTAAAAATTTTATTAAAATTCGTTGATAGAATTCAATTATTTTCAGAACTTTTGATGAAATTCTTTATGGGAATTGAATTTTAAGAAACATTCAATTATTCAATAAATTATTTGTATGCATTTTATTTGTATTTAAATAATTGAATTCTAGTAAAATTTTCTAATAAAAATTGATTTAAAAATGAATTTCAGTTATAATTTTAAATAATAATTGAATATTCAAAGCAATATAGCGTAAATTTTTAAAAATAATTGAATTTTGAAATTAATTTTTTTGAAAAAGTTTAATTCAATTTTTTTAATATTACTTTAAGTTTTTATTTTCTAATATTTATTTAATTGAAGAATTTACGAATAATTGAAATTTCGTAAAATTAAATATTCTATACGAATGGATTTGAAAATTGTCAAAGAACTTTTTCGAAAATTGTTAAATATAATCGATTTAATGAAGAATTTTATTAGTTAAAAATTCTTGTAAATAATAATTGAATTGTAAATGATTTTATCACTCGGTCATATTTAATAAGTTATTATAAAACATGAAGAAATCGATCACTCGGAGTCGAAGACTTGAAGTTTTGTATTAGTTATGAAAAATTTTAATTATAAGTTTAAGTAAAATTTGCTCTTATTTGACTCGGACTGGTTATATTTTTGTTAGTAATTGGTCCGTAATTTTTCATTTTTGGTACGTAAAGTCCGTATTTTTGAACACTTTCACTGGTTCGAGCCCTGCTACTTGAAGAAAATAAAAATTTTGTATATTTACCACATTAATTACTATTTAGAAAATACGCATACTTACTTGAAAGTGAAGTCCGTTTTATTAAAAAATAATCACAAAACCTTTTATGCCAAAAACACTTTATTGCGCTTAGAGTGAATAAAATTTTGATAGCATTTTTCCATTTAAAAAATAGGTTCACGCGAGAAGATCTCATAATGGAAAAAGGCCATTCGCCTGTGAATTGTGTAATAAAACATTCGGACACGAAATTAGTTTAACTCAACACAGAGCTGTTCATTCGGCGGAGAAGGTGTTTGAATGTAAACAATGTGGAAAAGCATTTAAAAGATCAAGCACACTCAGCACTCATCTTCTTATCCACTCGGACACAAGGCCCTACCCATGTCAATTTTGCGGTAAACGCTTCCATCAGAAAAGCGATATGAAGAAGCACACTTACATCCATACAGGTAAGTTGCATATTTAAATATTTTATTGCCGGTACACCATTGTAGTTTTCATAATTAGAAAAGGGATCAATTAGTGTCTCAACTGTGCACACTAAATAATGTAGCGAACAATTATCTACATCAAGTCAAAGCTGAATAAGTTAATTCCGTCCAGTGGCCGAGTCACATGTGCTGCTGGTATAAAAGGAAGAAAGGAAGAGGGATCACACAAGCCCCACATTGCGTAGCATGTTTCGTAATAATCTTAATGTCTTTTTGGGGTGCCTCAGTATGCTCTAACTCGGTGAATCTTTTCTCTCGTCTCTCCAATGCATGGCCAACCATTTCGATAATGGCACTCATCGGAGTTGTCCACTTGACTTATGAGATTTTGCTAATAAATATTAAATTGTTCGTGGGAAAATTATAGGGATATTACATTTTCCATTTTCATGCGCATTTGAACCGACAGTAGAAATGTTTGGCATTTTTTAAATTATTAACAAACTTTTCCTTTCTGTGAATTTAAAAGAGTTTTAACGCTGGTTATGGTTTCAATTTGAGACATCTTAAGTGACAAATCAGAGACAACAGATGTGCGAAGAGTAGAAAAAATTACGCTGTGCACATCGGTCGCACCAAAAAAGAACGTCTGCTTTACCGGAAACTTTCTCCGTGTACAAATTCTTACTACTTTGAATGAGTTAATGATTATAGTGAACTAAATATAATTTACACTTTGTATTAAAAAATCTTGCAACTAATATATTAATTCATAAAATATTTTTTATATTATTTATTTATTTGTAAAAAACAAAAAAAGTAATTATCTGCTTAGTAAAATCATAAAAATCTTAACTACTTTTAGAAAATTATAAAATAACAAAATCTTATCTCTAATTCGAAGGTAAATTACTATAGTTTAAATAGGTTCAAGAGAGGAAAACTTTGTAGTTTTATTTAGTTTTTTGCCTACATGAAGCGTAAAGTTAGAAAATGCCGAGAAGCTTTATAGAGATGTGTTATGTTTGCGGCAATGTCAATCGTACAGGAAATGATTTTCGGTGTTGTCTTTTTCTGGGTATATTTATCTTTGACATGAGATGTTAGAATAGAGAACAAGTGGTTTAAAAAAGCAGGACTGGTGAGACTCTTGACACTTGGGTGCCTCGCTTAGTGATGGAATGAGAGTCGCCAAGGTAGAGAGCGAAGGAAGAACATTAGAGAGGTGGGATTTTGAGAGATCACTCAGAAGAGATGCTGAGAGAGTGAGAAAGGATGGGAGGCGTAGACGAGGGAGAGTCAAGAGGAGTCTTGTCGAGTCTGGGTTTTGTATCGTCTCCATGGTAACCCTCCCAATGTCTTATCAAATTATCACCTTGTCCTCCCTATACTTCTCAGTCTCTCATACCCGTGTTTCGAAGATCCCTTGAAATTGTCGAGTAAGGAGAACACGATAAAAGAGGACACACAAAGGACCGACGATGGTCACTTACTCGGCTGCTAACAGCCTACGCTATGAGACCGTATTGTGTGTAAGTACCTCTGGACGCGAGGGTCCGGGTGGGCAAGGGTCGCTTCCGAACATTTAATTCATTATTCAGGGAATGAAAAATTCAGCGCTTCTCCAAGTAACCGTCTAATACCGCAATGGTCTGTCACAATTACTGCAGATAGAAAAAATATTATCTCGTCAGTCACGCAAGGAGCGAGCCTTTTACAACTTTTCCACCCTTTTAAAACCAAAACTTTACTCGAATAAACTTGGCGACAAAGCGTGTTTACAGTTTTGTTCTTGAGAAATTCTCCTGGTTTTAATGAATCATCTTCATAAAACTTGATACCATAGTCCTTTATTTTGATGACCTATTTCTGAATACCACCTAATTTTATTAATAAAATTTATTAACATAAAGTGATATTAGGCAACAAGAGTGAGGAATCGGAACATTGATGTCTCCCACAATCATCACTATCTTTTTTTCATTTCCAAATGCCTCGGTGTGCAGCAGCGTGCTAGGAGATTGTATAGCTAATGATAATCAGTTCTTCGTTCCCAACCTCACCCTCCTTTTCTGGCGTAGTGAACAGAGTGGGCCATGTGCAATAAGGGTGCGGCACTGTCGGATTCCCCAGGGACTAGAATGGCGTAACGTAAAATCATTATTAGGTAGGTGGGTGCTGGTGGTAGTGCTATTGCACGCGGAGACAGGGGTGCGGATGAAGGGCGGGAGGAGACCAGGAATAAGAGCTCTGCAAATATTGTTCCTGTACGAGACCGCTTGAAACAGCGTAAAGGGAGCGAAATGGCGCGGTGTGGTGTTACGTTGACGTTGCGGGGCTAGGATGTGCCGCGATGCTTCCTAGATGAGTATCGGGGGTGAGCCGAGTCAAGTGCACAATAGGGTTATTTTAGAGCCATGCCCGTCACTAGATCGCACACGAGGTGACAGACCGACAAGTGGCCAATCGTTATTATTGCTTTCGCTTCAATATATATACGAATGAAAACAAAGCACTTGACATGCGTTTCAGTTTAATACGTGGTAGAGCAGAAAAGTGTGGGTCTTTTTCCACTTCATTTAATTTGCTAATGAATTTATTTCGAATTTGCTTCTGAATTTAATTTCAAGATTATTGATTATTTACTTTGAATTCATGCGTATTTGAATGAAATTAATTAATCAACATGCGAAGGTGTGCTGCAATTATTAATAATAATCTTGTGCTTTTTTTTCTTATAATGTTTGAGGCCATGTATTTTCTACATCTGCACTTAGCCGTACGATGTCAACTTGATTGGTTGAGGTGGTCACCCCTGTTTTCATAGTAAATACAGTCTGTTCACTTGAATAAAAGTAAAGTTCCAGGAGTTACTCTCGCGATCAAGCGATGCGTTTTCTATATTTAAACTTCAGTATACTTTTTCAATTCTATCGAATCAAAATATTCTTCATGGTCGTCCTATGAATTAGTCAATTTATTTCTGAATAAATTTTCTTCTATAGAAAACAATTTAAAAGGAAACTAAATAACGTTCAATGGTAGTTTATTCTTAAAATAGAAAACTATACGATGTTTATTGAGTAAAGTTAACCTGTACAGAATCTCACCTCCGCAGGGTACGATTATTGTATCATTCTCGAATAGAGACTCCTTTGTGGTCTTTGTGCGTAAACTTGAAGACTATTAGAGGTTTCCAGCTCACTAGGCACCCCAAGCGTTTGAGCGCCACAACATCCCTCTAAGCTGTTTAAACTTTGCGACAGCGAACTCGTTCCTTCGTCACCTCTGTGGGTCGTTAGTGAATCTCTCGTAGTATGCTTATGTAAAACTATTGCTGAACATAATTAATTACTTAAATCTAAATAAAATAGAAAAAAATGCATAATATTTAATTTTCTACAAACTTGTGACTATAGAAAAAGTAAAAGTGTATTCATATTTCATGAAATTTAATTTAATACACAACTTTGTGTGATACCTATAGGTATCGTTTTTCTAAATTATCGAAAAGAGCTTAGAACTGCTCTACTGATGCCAAGATATAATTATTCACTTTTCTCGCCGTACACTCAACCTAACCCGCTTTAAGTTTAGCTGCTCAATAAAAGATAGAATATCCATACAGGAAAGTATTATGGTGTTCAAGTTTTAATGCAGTGGATATATGACTATATCAAATGTAGTTTCATATCAAGATAAGTGCTTTCCTGTCCGTACACGTGTCGTGTGCGGAGTCCTTATATTTATAATGTCACGACGCGGAGCACAGCGACACAACCGATGCTGCATTAAACATGCAAATTCTAGGCGTATAACGTTGCGCTGTTGGTATTCCATCGCGGGAGAAGCACATAGTGTTCCATAGTAGTGCGGCATGATTAAATTTCCAGGGATATCGACATGCCAGAAACACGTCACCTCTCACCTCCCGCTCTGTATACCTGCACGTACACTCATCCGCCATTCGAACAACTACCTCGTTCAGACGGTTAAAATTAACTGCAACTGATGGCGCACACATACAGATATAAATTCTAGTCTTTCATCCGCTTGTCGCTTATTTCACTGAAGAATATTATATTCTTATCTGTATTGTTTTCTAAACGCAAAGTAATCAGCACTCTTGTGAAAATTCAGAAAATTTGACATAGTTCTGAGAGAATGGAAAGGATTAAGGATTAACGCTTTTGTGAATTTTCCATAGTCGCGCGCTTTTCTTGCAAGCGACGCGACGTATGTCGTCATCAGGCTTTTGTTTCATTCTATATCGACATAATTTGGCATTTAGAGAAACAGAACCACAAGTATTAATTGATTTCATAAAAGTTTGATAGGACATTAGTCATTATTCCTGAATTATGAAAGAATGAATTATCCCAGAGAGAATAAAGATAAGATTTGTCACAATTCATAAGTGATCGGTACCAAAATAATTTAATAGGCATCCATCCGTCGTAATCAGTACGAAAAAGATTATTATCTTGCGTTCCCTGCGGAATAGAAGCACTATGGAGCTAACCAACTTAACAGCATATCCTGTTTCTGCAGCCCTTTGCTCAAAATACCTCTCAATCAAGATAGATACTTGTATTGGATGAATGAAACAATATTTAATTTTTTCGATATTAGTTATGAAAACGATTATGTATAGCTTCATATGGAAAAACGTATAAATGCGTCAGAATGCGTCAGAATGCGTCTCAAAGTTAAACAGGGATGCTGTTCGAATGTTATTCCTTCTCTGTAATGAAATTTCTATTTTTGTTAGATATAGATTTTGAATACGGTTCATTCAATTGGCGAAGCACGATTATATCAGTTTCGTGCAAAACATTTTCCACTGTAGCTCGACCACTGCTAAATTCCCAGGACTGTGCTTTGAATCGGCGTTGCGCGTTTCGGTGGAAGTACACAATGAACGCGAATTGCAGGCGTTTGCACGAGTACGTATGCATGCTACACGTATATACATCTGTGCATTCATCGGCTCCCATGACAATATTGCAGCTGTATCCCATCGTCGAACCGAGAAGCAACCCAACTATTCGTGTTCCTAAAATAGTAAATGCAACGCGTTGTTAAACAGAATCGGGTCTACTGAGACTAGATAACACGCCTGAACTGCTCCACACACACACACAGGTATATTGCGTTGGCCATTCCGACTGACGATGCCTCGGAGTAATATATCTCTGCCGAGATACCGCAACAATAAACATGGAGACAGTTTTATTTGAAACACTAATAAACTGTCAATTTCCGTTAAATGTATTCTCGATAGCGGCGGTACTTGCATTACACGATCGAGAAACGAAAGAAAAGTCTGATTGATATCCGCCTGTAATCCCATCTCAAAGCTTCAGTGATACTACAGAAAATCCATGCTGTCCTCGACGTGAAATATGAGATGTGGTGCTTTTCCTCTTGCTCTTTTTTCTTCACTTTACTCTCGCATCTCCTCTACCGTGCACTCCTCTCACGGGGATTTGGATTGGAGGGCAGAGACGCCCCCAGAGAGTAGAAACGTGGTCGATGGAGACGAGAGGAAATCAATGCTTCTGCCAGAGTCCGGTTCTCCTTTCCTCCTTCGTTTCCTCTAACCCCTCTCACCAACCTCTCTTTCTTCCGCGTTTGATTTCCTTCTCGTACTCCCCCCGCTTTATAGATTTAGCAAAGAAACGTCGTAGATCGCAAAGTCTGTGTGGATTCGTAATTTCAATCGCGTCAAGAAATGCTGCTTCTATCGCTTGCGCAATCTTAGCGAAATAAAATAGTTGATTTATCCATTTAATCCCCATCGGCAGTAAATCGATGAGTCGAGTGTACAATGACATCACTCTTTACAAATAATGTGCCTCGGTGGGGGGTTATCTCAGTACGTTACACCAGCCACAAATAAATATTATTTGTTTTCTTGCGCTTACAATAGGTAATATCAAAAATAAATCGGAGAAAATTTCAATTTAAGTTGGTATTTGGACTAAATTCTTCTCTGATTCATATTCTCATCAATTAACGTATACTTTTGCTGAGCTTTTGTTATAAAAACACTGTAAAAAATAAAATCTTAAATTAAATCTTACTTTCAGCCCTCTTTTAACTAAAGTATTATTAGTACAGTCATTAATAATTGACTGAATTTTAGTCTTGAGAGTATGATTTTAAATCTTAAAAATGACAGAATAATTTTCAATCATTTTGGTTTCAAGATGGAAACGGTTACAAATTTTGTTTTTTCTGTGTAAAAGTTACTACAATAAATAAAAGGTAAAACAAGAACACAGTAAAGAGACTGATCTTAAATTAAGATTTTCTTTCTATTGCGTTTATTCATTGAGATTTTATAGATTTAGAATTGATAAAAATGGTTGTGAAGAAAATGTAGTTTTTACTTTTGCCTCTTATTGCTGTTGAATTACTTTTGAAAAAGAACATGTCAATACCGTGTCCGAAAGTAGTCTTGATTCATGATAAGGAGAAAAAAATCTTTGAAAGAGGGTGAGAAAAGGCTTCAATTTGCAAAGTTCGCAGGGTAGTCGACTCGTTGGAAAAGCGATCAAAGTGCCGTCTTGGTTTTGCAGCGCTTGTCTCATGAAGTGGTGGGAAAGACTTGGCTGAAGTAGGAGGTTGGTGGTGGAGTGAGAGAAGGTTGGCAAGGGTAAGAGAAGGTCGGATAAGATTCGCCGCTCTTGAGTAGTGGTGTGACCGTAGTGGAAAGCTTGCACGAAAGCAAAAGACAGAGAAAAAGAGTGAGAAAAGGACCCTCAAGATTTGCCGGAGTTTAATATAGTTTTAGGGGCGGCGGCCGACAGGCTGGGGTTGTAATGGCGTCTTAAGCTTCAGGGGCTCTCAATATAGTTATCCACATTTGAAGCGTCTTCGGAAACAAACTAAAATCGAAGTCGTGAATCAAAACAAGAGTAGCTATATTGATCTGCATTCCGCTCGCAGTTTATTTCTATGCAGAAAACATTAAATTACGAATTCACTGATATGTAGACGTTTTCAAGATTACACTTTTAGAATCTGGGAACGGAGAGCTTCGAGAAAATTCCGACACACCGACATTCACACCTTGGACTACACACATGGCTGAGCGTGTGCATGTATTAAAATGCATAGGTTGTGCATGTACGGACTCATAGCTTTCAGCTATGTGGGGTTGGACTTGGAGATAAAGACGAAAGGGCAACCTCGGTACGAGCCCGGACGGTTCTTGATTTTTACGAGACCGTAAATTCCTTAGGACGACCTTTCTCTTTCCGTTCTTCCTTCTTTCCGTTTGCAATTCTCATTTGCAATTTTATCGTCTTGAGAAAATTCGACATGACTCTTAAATGTTTTAAACTTTTGTGGTTCCTCAATAGTGTAATAGACAATTCGATCATATTGATTTGCTACAGGTTTTTATATTTTTTTATAGAGATTACTTGGTTAACGTAGAACACATGATTATCTACTTATTCATGTAAAGAGCTAGTATTTATTAATATAGTCTTCTAATAAAATCTTTTTTTAAATTCTTTCGGTACATATAGTAAGGAAACTTTTCAAAAACAATTTCGTACTGTTGAAATTGTAAAAATACTGACAATAGACAATTAAATATCGATGGGCGTTGTCCGATACATTTGTCACTTTGATTGGTCGCATTTGTAACAGTCGATCGTCAGGTAACTGGTATCGCCTATCGCGTTTACTAGATTGAAGACTAGAGTAACGAATTGTTTATGGCTTCATCCTCTGATATCCAGTTAGTTGGTGGAAAAGACAGGCAAGGGTCATGGAAGCTGGATTCCATTAGCAGGTACGTACCACTGGAGGCAACAGAGTTCACGTAGCGGAATTCTTTCCAGTTCTGTACGGTTTCTCTCTTCCACATGCACACACACACACACTCTCCACCAGGTCATCCCGCGGTTACTACGGCAACAGGGGGTTGGAGCCGCCCCCGTTCACCAATCAGAACTCTCAACCAAGATGAGAGAAACGAGCGCGTATCACACCCGTTTTCCCTCTGTCTCTCTTTTGGCGTCTATTCTGGCCCCACCTCTGCCCCCGTTCACCCGTTACTTCATGGACCTGGCCGGGGGTGGCTGAGATTCTCGCTCGAAAGGAAATCTTGACCGGGCGTGCCCCGCATCTCTGATACTACCTTATAGTCCTCAAGTACTTTGAGAGATGGAATCGGTTCTCCTGAATTAACGTAACACCGCTTGAGGATCAAGTCCTTATCGACACTTTCGGTTGTCAACTCGAGTGCTATCAATATTGTACTTTAAGATCCAAGAGGAGACATATTCTCAAAATTATTGCTACTTATGCTACATTAATGCAAAAGAGGAAAGTTATCAGTTTCTTTGATTTGATGGATGAAAAATTTAAAATTTGAAAAGTCCTTAAATGTAGTCCAAGATATTTCTTTTAATTATTAAAATTATTCGTGTACCACAACTTAAATTATAATTATCCACTACGTGTGCAGAAATTCATAATTTTATTTTCCATTGCAGGAGAGAAGCCGCATAAATGTCAAGTTTGCGGCAAAGCGTTTTCACAAAGCAGCAATTTAATAACGCACTCGAGGAAGCACACTGGTTTTAAGCCCTTCGCCTGCGAGCTTTGTGGAAGGGCCTTCCAGCGTAAAGTGGACCTCAGGAGACATCGAGAGACCCAACACGCCGACTTGGGAACGTCACATCGTCCGGCGATTGGTTCTATACCTCAAAATAATTTAACCAATGGAAATGCTTCCATAATACAATAAAAGTACTGCGTCAACAAATTTATAAATATTTATAATTCTATAAGCGGCACACCTAAGATTGTCAAATGCGTAGTGTATCAGTACGACAATTTGCATTGATATACAGTTGTTAAAGTTTGAGAACTGAGCACAGTAAAAAACTTATGGAAATAATTAACGATTAGGTAATCTGCTTGTTTCTGATTTTCATATATGAATTTACGGTATTACATTCCTAAAGTGCATTGCTCTGTGTCTTAAAACCAAAAACAAATTACACTAATTACTTATTTAATATCATGATTTCATAGAGTCCCTCCATATCATTCTTTATTATTATTTTCCAAATTTGAGAGAGACGAAAGAATTATCTAATTAATTTACTGATCGTAAAATAATTCCAACTTTTTTTATTTTACCGCGTTGATGATGATAATAATCGGAGATCATATTTAAATTTAGTTAATGGTAATGAAATATAATCATATTGAACTTCTAAAAAATACGAAACTCCACCCTTTGTGTGGAAATCAAATCATTATTATACGTATTTCTATACCGATGCTGTGATCTGCTCTTAACATTGAGTTATCTGCAATTTACTTAAAATAACAAAAAAAAAGTTTTTCAGAAACTAAAAATGAATGTTTTATTAACAATAACTATCACAATATAGAATCTCAGAATATTATCATCTATAATAGATTGAAACAAAAAATGTTTTTGATAATAATAATTATAAATTATTTCATTATCAACTTATTCTAATATATATATGTACAAAGAGAAAATATCTTTCAGGTATTTCGAAGTTGACTGTTTTCCGTATGAATTTCATAAGGTGTTTTAAATTATTATATTATATTATATTATATTGTGAATATTGTTTTATTGCATTACATAAAATCTTGTTGTCATTTCGCTGTTAAAAAATGTTTTCAATTTCAAAGAACGTTTAATACAAATATTTTTTTGTTTTCTGAACCGAAAATAGTTATCAATATAATAGGATGGGTATTTCGCTTCTAAATTTATTTTACAAAGAATAAAATTCTTTTTTTTATAAACATAAATAATTGTGATTATTACACTTTTATGTTGAAACCCTAAAATAATTAAAATTATCAAATAACATCTTTCTTTTATTAATATGAGAGACTAAAATTTATTACTTTATAACATGGAATTTCTTTTTAAAAGAGAAAAATTCTTTTCATTAAACCTGAATACTTAAGTGTTAAAATTTAAAAGAATAAATTGTTGTGAAATAAGAATTCTGTTTTATTGGAAGCTTTTCTTCGGTGTGATTCTACGTAGTTCATTAAATTATATAATTTATTAAGTAAACAATAAAAATTATGATTAATTTTAATTAAAGTATTCAATTTTTTAATCATTCAAATTGAAGTAAAAACTATTTGAAGGTTTTTTCAATTAATATAGCAATGCGTAAACATTTGATATAGTTTTGAAAAATGTCAAGTAGCCCTGAATGGTATGGTTGACAATATTACATTGCAATATTCAGGCAAGGTTAATTGATAAAAAAATCTTGCATAACAAGTCTAAGGCAATTTTGCTTTCCAGTGCTGAATATTGTGGTGTAATATTGCCAAGTCCACTATGCAAGAAGTTGTGCTATCTGAGTAAGTTTATTTGCGACTTAAGTCGTGTATATTGTTATGTATAAAATTTGAAATATGTTTACTCTAAAATTTTCAGAAATTAATCAAAAATGTCAATCTGTAACGGTTCAGAAAAAATTAATTACATTTTTTCCATCTGCAAACTGATCTTACATATTCATTAGTATTTGCACAAGTGAATGTGAAGATAATTGATCTTATAGTTATTCGCTTGAATCATATTTGTTGTAAAATGTTTTAATGAGTTGAATACTTAATTAATAGATGTTATAATTGACTAATTCATCATATACACTGAGAAAACATTAAACTTGATTCAAATACAAAAATAATTTTAAATGTTTTAACGTTTGAATCAAATACATTATTTTCTTTAAAGGAATCAATAAATATGTTTAAATTAAACTTAAATTTATTAGACTGTATAAGCAATGATATTTTAATTTTGATTTAACAAAATATGTTTGATACAAATAAATGCTTTACTCAGTTTAGGTTTGCAACGATTTGCTGTATCACTTGAAAAAATAATTGATTAAAAAATACTTTCAATCACTGTAAATTTTTAATTAGTCATTAACATAAAAGATGCAATATTAAGATTAGAAGTGATTAAATTTATTATTTTGTCGTAATTCTACTATTTATTTTTCATAACTAATCTCACGAAGAGAAGAAGATTTGTAATTTCAATAATTTCAACAAATCCTACTATATTTGTTTATAAGTTGAACTTCAAATTTAACTATTCTGTCTTTCAGAAATAATTTTCTTTCCCTTCTCTCCGTTTTATGCATCATGAAAGGCATATAAATGTATCATTAATCAAATAATTTAATTTATAATTAAAACGCACGTGTCAAAAAAAATATGAACAAAATGTTTATTTTTAGTTTTACAGTATTATTGTTCACTTTACTAAATTGTATAGAATTGGCTTATTAAATATTTGAAAAGTAAACATTTATAGAAAAAGTTGCTTTGAGCAAAACTAACGATTAATATTATTATTATGTGTATGCGCAAATTACAAAAAAAGTACTTAAAGGACGTTAAAATTCGGCCAGTTTAGTATAATAGTATAGATTCAGAATGTTAATTTGTTTTCATTAATTAAAAAATTTCATTTTGTATATTTTCTGTTTAAACATTGGAAAGAATTTCTACGTATAACTTAATATTTCTTCATTGAAAAGAAGGAAGGTAGGAAAAGGAAGGAAGGTAATAATTATAACTTTCAGTCGTACGACCAATATTGTACATAAACATTTAGCTTGTATCTTGGTTAGTTTAAGAGCATATATAAATATATAAATAAATAAAGAAAAACTCATCTATATAAATAGTATAAATAGTTCAATTTTTGGACACATGTGGTCAGTTTAAACCGTTTAAAGATTTGTGTCCTCCAAAGTCTCGCCAAAGGTTAATCAATCTTTCTTCTCTGCTATTCCAATTTTTATTGTTGTATCATTATTATTCTGTAATTATTGTATTATTATTATTATTATTATTAATATTATTATTATTAACAATAAACGCTGTTACTATTTGTATATAACTAATGTTGTTAATTTCACCTTTTTCAATTTCTTCAAAAATGCGGAAATGGAAATTTTCTTTGCACTGAGAAAAGGAATTATTTGATTCAAACAAATTTTGTTTAAATCAAACCTAAAATATCTTTGCCATACAGTCAAACATATTTAAGTTTAATTCAAACATATTTTCTGGTTCAGTTTAAGAGATTATATATTGAAATCAAATATAAATTGTGATTGATTTTAAATTATCTGTAGTCAACTTTTAAGTTTGATTGAAACATAAAATTTTTAAACATAATTTTTGTTTAAACCGTAACAGAAAATATGTTTGAATACTTTTGAATCAATACAGTAGATATTTTCTATATATTGAGATTAAATTTGCAAACTAATTTCAATTAAACAAAATCGTCTAACATTATTTTTGTGTTTCATTTAAGTATCATGTTTTCTCAGTGTGGTTTTTATTAGAAGCGTATGAGTGGGTTATTAAAAAAGAATTGTGTCGTTTAATAAGTGGATATTCAATATGTTTGAACTTATTCACCGCAGTTTTCTCGAATTTTATTTCCCCCATTTCTGACATAATTTTAGTAGTCTAGAATAAAAGAACCCTTGTGCACTGGTGGATGCTTTTCGTTACTCAAGAGCACATAACAGCACTGACTGCATGACGCAGCCAGCCCGATAGGACAGTTATTGCATTCTGGGCAAGATTAATTGATATGGGGGCTGGAACCACGAGGTTGCTGCTCGCGCCGAACTATGTCTCCAGTTCAGTTAAGGGATGAGCGGTGATTAACTGTTGGCACACAGAGTTCCCCCCTCTATAATAGTCATTGAGTAATAGAGACTCTCATTATTAAATAGCTTCAAAGGGAATCTCTCTTGTTGATATTGATATTGATATTGAAGACAATTAAAGTGTATTGAGAAAAAATAAAACCAATCGTTTCTTTTAATTGTTCCATTAAAATAATAACAATACTATTGCCACCAAATCATTAATTTTGCGTCAAAGTATTTTTTTTAACTTGTTTTTCAATTTCATAAGGATAAAAATGTGTCAATTACTTTTCATTTCACTTTCTTTCTTTATTGAAATAAAACCAACAGACCCTAGGGCTAATTCAAAAATACTAAGAATAGGAAAGATTATATCTTCGAGATATGGGGGTAATTTAAACTGATTATATAACTGCTTTTATAACTAGTTATGTACTTTAACGATCAACTTCTGTTATTGTTATATTTTTCTATTTCGTTTCAATTTAATTAGTATATTATGTAGAAAATTTAATTAGTATATCAGTACATCAATCGCATTCTATAAATAAATTATAGGTACCAGGAGAAATAAATTTTAAACAGTTATGTTTATCATTGAAGCTCTGTTTTGGACTTACAAGAGGTACTCTTTAAATTTGAACTTAATCAATTTTGAGTTTGACTAATGAAATAATGTCGATTCTTTTATTAAATTACTTAGTAACTACTTTGATTAACTTTATTTAGTTAAAAACTACTAATTGTTAGTAGAAAATTTCCGATTCATTTGATATGATTAGGTACTATTTCAATTAATAACGCCTGCAAAATAAATTGGTAGGATTAAAAAATAATTTTCTGCTACCAATTAGTAGTTTTTGATTAAGAATTATAGTCAAAACGCTTACTAATTCATTTAATGATCAAATGAGCACTATTTCATTATCTAAAAGTGACTACATCAGATTTAGAGAGATAATATATTAATATTACCATAAAGCTGCATCAAAATAATAAATTCAATAAAACACCTTTCAGAATGTAATCTAGTACAGGGAGAGGACAGCAGCAGAGGAGAGAATTCTAATTAGTAAAGCCTCTGCAAATCTCACTTTGTGATCGACCCAGCCGTATGTCAGAGGGATTATTCAAGATAAAAAATGTCAATTTTCAATTATTGTTCTGAACTCACTACACACCCTGGCACAGTTAATGGAATTTTTGAAAAGGAGATTAAACTTCATATGGCAACAATTTTATACATTTTTATACATGAGTAAGTATATTTGCGAAAAAAGAATAATACGATACGTTCTTTTGCTAATTTTGCATTTAAGTAAAACTTATGAAAATTTTAACACAATTATTTATAAAGATAGACGTGGATAGACGAGTCCAATATTTTACTGCATATATAAGAATTTTCGTCTGGGAGTATGATTTTAATTTTTTTATAAATACTTCTTATTTCTCTTCTAGAGGATCTGATTTTTTGTTCGAAGCATGAATTTAAAAATATCTGTATAGTTTTGAGGATCAAAAAACCCTTAAGAAGCTAAAATTTTTAGAGGATCTAAACTTTTTGCGATTTCTTTTTAAAGCTAAATAATAAATTGTCAAAAAATATGAATTAAACCTTATAGCTATACGGCAAGAAACTTTAAAATACATATCAGAAAAATTACGCCACTGATTCAACAACATTTTTTACTACAAGTTCGGAGAGAAGAACTCATTAGGTATACTTTAACAAATTTGCAAAAGTTACGATTAATTATTGTGTAATATTTCCCTTATTGTATAATGAAATATGAGCAAATTACCCAATTACGTAGTCTGTCAGAATGGTTTTTCTAATAAGAGGAAGCTTCAGACTCACGAAGCGAGTAAACAAATAGCTGGTAAGAAGAGAAAGAATAAAATAAATGGTGGCACGCACCAACGAGATCAGTCAGGGGAATTTGGTACTTTGGCTAGTGACTTAATAGGTAAAAAGATTGATTGTCTTCGACCAATACCACAAGACGCTAGACAATATATAGCCACCGCTTCTTTACTTTTCAAATGTTTTCAAATCTTTTGTCACAAAACCGAAATGCTTGAAACTCGCAAATTATGTGAGGGAATTCTCTGATGATTGCGAAAACTAATTGAAACTATATCGCAGTTTGGCGTTGACGTTCAGAAGATCGATTCATTACGCTGCTGAATAAATGATTGAGTGAATCGACAAACGATCGGTTAGGGTTCATCCGAAAGTGATTATTCGTCAGTTCATGTCGTGCTCTTTCGCAAAATCGACCCCAAAGGACTGCGGACTTGAAGACGACCGCCATATATCTCTAACTGCATAATTGATTATTAGATTCGTGAGTCTTCAGCAATGCCTTTTCTCGTCTGCAGTGTCCCTAAAACCTATACTTGATCAATTTATTCCAGGCCCAAATAACAGATACTTTACATTCAATTATTATTTATTATGCATATTATAGGGTGGTGCAAAAAGACAAAACAGTGAAATACTCTCTCTTTATTTCAATATTTGTTGCTATTAGCTATTTTTTATACAATTTTAAAAAAGTGTCTTAAATATATTGTATATAATAATTATTTCATAATTCTATATGATTTTGAATATTGCAATGTAGCATTGCCAAGCAATATTACCAAATGCAATATTACAAGCTTAAAAGCTTTTGATGCTCATTATTCAAATACTTATTCTTTCACATTTGTCCTAATTGTGTAATTTATTGGAAAAATTATTTCATAAATGATTATTTTATTCGCATGCTAAATAATGGGAAAATTAGTCAAATTAAACCAATTAAATTAAATTAGTAGCGAAAACAGCGACTACCAAAAGCAATGTTTGAACTTCAGCGCGCTCACTTATTCATTGAACATATATATATATATCTTTAGAGACTGTTGCATATTAATAACTGTCTCATATAGATTTAACTCAATTCTATTGCCTGATGACTCATGCTCACCACATGATATAGTAGTAGAAAGTTGAACACAAAGTCTTGTTTCCTATCTCAGTCGACACCTAACCTTAGAATACAATTTTTACTATTCAAGTAAAAGACACAGATTATTACTTTGAAACACATTATTTTTTGTTTTGAAAGGACAAATTAAGAGTTGGAATGAAGACTTATAGATCTTTAAATTGTACAACTGTTTTTGTTGCATTCCTGTTTCAAAGTCTCTTACTATTTTCTTATCTTTTTCCAACATGCGATAGTGAACAGAAACTTGTGCTAGTCAATGTGGTAAGTTGTGTCAACACATATTTATTCGTTACCAATGGAATTCTAGTTTTGCTGTAACTTTAAAGTAAATTTAAAACTTATTATTTACCGGTTTCTTTAATTTTATGACAATTGTATTTATTATCATTGCCAATGAAATACAAGTACTCACAGTTTGCGAAATCTTACTTTTTGAATGATTATAAAAAAGTGACAATGAATTACAGGTATTTAGACATGGAGATCGAGCACCTGATAGAGACATCGGTGAAAGTTACCCAAATGATCCGAATGTGAATGCATCGTTTTTTCCAATGGGATCTGGAGGAATGACAAACGTTAGTTACATCCATACATATTATAAATATAAATATTATAGTATAAACTATAATAAAGAAACTGAAAAGAAAATTTTAATATCTTCTAAGAAATTTCCAAGTGCTTTAAAAATGTTTTCTGTGTGTTGTGTGTGTGTTTCTAAACACACTTCTAATCTTAGGAAGGCAAACGAAGATCCTATAACTTAGGAAAAGTTCTTCGCGAAAGATATTCTGATTTTCTCGGCCCAATATATTTACCTGAAAACATCAAAGCCCGAAGTACAGATTCACAGAGAACAATAATGAGTCTTCAGTTGGTTCTTGCTTCACTATATCCTCCAGACACTCTTCAAAAGTGGAACACTGATCTTAATTGGCAACCGATACCATTTATTTATAAAAAGAAAAAGAGAGATTGGTTACTCTGGCCAACAAATTGTCCCAGGTATGTGTGCTTCGATTTTATTATGCAAATCCAACTCGGAGATAGCACAACTCCTTGCATGGAAAATACCACCGCACCATAACCCAGTGAGCTGGGTAATATTATATTCCGATATCTAGACAAGGTTTAAAAATGGCAAGTTCGATAAAATATTCTAACGATACTTGCATTCTCAATATCAGTAATATGTCGAAATAAGAAAAGAATATTTAAACTTGAAATACTGATTGAAACAATTATTACAATTAAAATTGTGCTATCCTAAAGGTATATTTAGAATTTTTAACAAAACCCTTTTTAATTTATAGATATAAAGCTGAGTATGAAAACGTTTTAAAATCTTCGGAAGTTTTGACAAAAATTGAAAAATTCAAACCGTTAATGGAAAGATTGACAAATCTTACAGGAAAAGAAATAAAAAGTATGAGAGACGTACTCATTTTGTACAGTACACTTGATTGTGAAAATTCGATGAATCTACCCATTCCAGAATGGGCGAAGGAATACTTAAAAAATGGCGAATTAGCAAAAGTGGGAAATTTTCAGGTTGAATTAAGAAATTACAATAAGTTGCTCAAAAGATTAAATGGTGGTAAGTTCGCAGAGTGTAATAAATTTATATACGAAACTTAGATTCTATAGTTCCCATATTTTAGGAGTGTTAGTCCGAAAAATGACGGAGGACATGTCTGCTGCGAAAAATGGAACATTGGAAAAAGGCCGCAAAATAATATTGTACAGCGCTCATGATTTAAATCTAGGAGGACAAATACTTGCTCTTGGAATAACTGAACCGCACATTCCTAATTACACAAGTTCTGTTATATTAGAACTTTATGAAAATAACAAAGATTATTTTGTGCAGGTATGTAAATTTAACTTTGCTAAATAATTGAATGACTGAATTACTTATTATGTTATATTTTTTCTTTTGATGTTTTCTACAGGTTTTGTATTATTTGGGAATCCCGGACAAAATGCAAGTAATGACAATTCCTGGCTGTGATGAGATGTGTCCACTTGAAAAGTTTATTAATCTTTTAAAAGATGCAATGCCCGACGATAATGAGTTTAAATGTCGAGCATAGTTTATTATTTGTAAAAATATAAATAAATTTTCTTGGAAAATTGAGGAAAATGATTTGTCTCAAAAGAGAAACTTTGTAAGAATGATAGTTTTATTCATTTAAATAATATTCCTTTTACATTTTCAATACGACCACGTAGCTCCGTAATTCAGTTTTCACTCTGGGAATACTTTATGCGAAACATTCTACATCACCTGCAAAGAAGAGAGGACGAAAATAGGAGGATGAAAAGTGACGACTGGCTAAGATGGCGGATTCAAGGGTGGAGGGTAGGCCAGAAAAGTATCTAAGGAGCGACGATCGCCGATAATCTTATCAGATGATGGGAGTTGGTATTCAAACGATATAAGCGATGCTCCCATGGGCACCGCACTCAGAAAAGTGTCGTCTCTATACCCTTTGCGGAGTTCGAATTCAATTTGCATCGCCTCAGCAGAGAAGCCCATTTTATAAGAAAAGGGCAAAAAAAAACTATACTAACGCAATTTCAAAAATGTTTTCTAATTGATATCATCGTTTAAAGTCAAATTATTCTGAATAACTGAATAATTCGCAAACAGATAAAAATCAAAATTTTATTAATTGTACATTAGGTTCAGTTGAAATTTTCTTTTTATTCAATTTTTCCAAAGCTCTATAATGGTTAAAAATAAAGTATCTATATTTATACATATAACAAAGTATCCAAGACATATAATAAAGTATCTACGCAGTGTTAATAAGTTTAATAATTACGCTCATTCCTGCAGTGGAAAATTTTTAACTATATTCCGCGAATTTTTTGAAAGTTGTTAACAATAGATAATTTTAATTCTTTTTATATCTTAATTACCCTTCAAAAATTAATTATTTAAATATCTATAAACTCTCATAGTAGCCTGAAATTAGAAAAAGTTGCATATAATTTTTTACTTATTTTTTTATATTAATAGTAGATTAAGTTTGAATTTTGCTAGCTTCGGATAAAAAGATGTGTAGGTATAAATAAATGTTATCAATACTTATGTATTATATTATAATTGTATTATAATTATATATATATATATAATTATATATATATATATATTGTAATATCCATATGAATACATATTCAGTACGTTAGAAGTTGAAGAATTATTATTTCATTATTATCTCAGTTCAATAATACAACTTTTTTTATCGGTTAAGCAGTTTGTTTACCGTATTGTGAAAAAGCTTGGAGATGATAAAATTATTATCAGTTAGTATTGTAGATTGAAGCAAAATCTACATTATCCTTCACAGACATATAATAGTCAGATAGCTTTTCACCCAGCAGTTGATACAAAGAGTAAAATGTAGTAGATTCCTATTTTAACTGTCAACAGCAAATGAATTTTATTTTTGATAATCGATGATTTTGAGTGTAAAAACTACTAAATGTTTACTTATTATATGCTTTAATTAATAATAAATTAAAATATATTTAGTTGCTTAAAATAAAAAATACTTATTATTATTAAAATCCACTTATAGTTATAAAAAGGAAACATTTTTTTAGAGAGATAAATATATATTGAAGTATGAAAGAAACCGAACATTTAAAATTTAGGATTCAGTTAGTCCTTAATTTTTTTAATATTCAAACTGTGCTAAGTATTTACTATTTAGTCGTAAATAAACAGTGTGATAGGAAATGAATAGACTATATAAATAAAAATTAATTAATAAATACTGATGAAAATCCAATGAAATTTTAAAATTATAATTCCTGTGTAGCTATACTTGAAAACACATCGGCATAAATGTATTTTCAAATTTTATTTTGCTTCATAAAAGCTTCACATTGTATAATAGAATGTCGTTTACACTTTACTTCAAGAATTTTTACACGTTATCTTTTGTTGTTTATAAACAATGTAAGGGCATTTCTGTTGAAGAGACAAAAAATAATTTTGTTAGTATGATTACACTGAAGATTTTCAGAAAACAAATTATTAAAGAATAAAAGCAAAAAAATATAATTAACCCAGATAAGACGTAATATATCTTGCACCAATTTTGCGGAAAGGTAACGGCAAGATTGTTGCAAGCTTGACACAACATTACGTGCTATTTCGAATCTACTACGAAATCTTACTGGTATAGTTATTAATATACACAATAATTTATAGAGAATTATATATACACACATAAAACATCATTTGGCACTTAAATTTTCTGGTATGAATTTTACAAGGCATTTTGGCAACTCATTGTACGAAAGAAGACAATAAATCGCTGATATTAAATCTGTTTTGTCGAAAATTGTAAATATGTTTTAGTCGAAAAGTTGACTCAAAAGTCAGAACACGACACAATTTCTACATTAGAAATATTGCAGCTAAATTTTGCAAAAATTCTAATTTAAAGGCAGAAAAGAAGTTTTGAAGTTCAAAATTTATGTTTAAAAAAGGCCAAATCGTAGCAATTCTTAAATATATAGCTCACTTAAAAGAAAAATAGAAATTGTCATGTCATACTGATTTATTTTTGCAAGTTATGTTTCTTTTTCGTTAATAGTTTTTGAAAAATAATTGTGTTTGTATTAGAATACAGTACATCTGATGTTTATTTCTGAAGAAGCATTCAAGCAAAATTTAATAAAATGTGCTTAAAAAAATTATATTTAAAATTTTCTTATTTATTAGAACCTCAATCTTAAGAAAAAAGTGGGACAACAAAATATTTTCATACTGTGTTGTACCTGTAGGCTATTAACTGCTATTTAACAGGCCAATCTTCTCGAAAAATTATAAATGAACTATGCTGATATTTTCTGAAATCTAAAATATTATTACAGAACAATGAGATGTACAAAAATTTGATATCTTTAAATGAGGTATTATAAAACTTTAAGAATTGTTAGAAAATTTTTGTCCCCTGACATTAAAATATTTTTTTTAATTACTTTTAAGTAATTTCCCATAAGAAAGTAATTTTAAAAAAAATTTTGTTGAAGTTAATTTTCCGATGTCAAGGGCCAACTAAAACGGACGTCAGAATTTGATACGTGGTTTATAATATCCCGAGGCTCAATTAACCTCATTCTCATTAATTTCTGAGTGTTTTGATAAAAGTTAACTTAAAAAATATCAAAACTTGTGCGCTTCACTGCTTTTCCTTATTACGTTTTAGACTTCATAAAATATCAGCTTATAGTCTATTTAGTATATTTTACAAGACAAGTGACCAACAAATTAGTGACCTAACAGTCATCATATGCTGTTGAATCACCATAATAGTAATATTTTCAATTTTTTTAATTGAATTTTTTTAGATTTCAATTTTTAATATTAAACTATAGGTACATGTAAGTATAAATTAGACTATACGTTGAATTTTTGTTCTCAATAACTTAATTTCCTTCACTATAGAAGCGAAATGTGATTGTGGCAAAAAATTATTCTTTTTTATTAAAAAGAATTCTTAGAAGCTCATTTTTTATTTCATCAATTTACACTAGCATATGTATATAATGTACAAATAGATTTTATTAAATTAAAAAAGATAACTGCAATCTTCTACTATTGTATCCTACATTGTGTTTTAAACAGTTATTGCATTACACTGTAAATTTAGGGAGTTAATGACAACCGGGAGTAAAAATTTCCCAGTTAAAAGTCGACTTCAAAAGAGAATTAATCCAATTTTCTTTTTCAATTTTTGCAAAGCTCTATAATGTAACCAATTTATGCTCGTCCCTATCAATGTTTTTCGACAGTTATTATTTTCGTAATTACAAATGGTGTTAACTTACTTGATTTAACCCATTTTGCTCCAAATTGAAAAACGTGCGACTTTATAGAGCCTGCGAATTAAAATCTAACTCCCTTTTTTTACAGTGATAGTAGCTTCGAAACTTGCATTAGAGCAATAAAGAAATTTGAACAATTTAATCTTTTAAAATACAAATGTAAATAAAGAGCAGAAACACAGTGGCGAAAATCAGGTATGGTCATATTCATATAATTTTTGCTTATTATTGCTATATGTATATATGTATATATAAATCTATTATCTACAATTTATTTTATGTAGATTCTTTGTAAATAATACTTTAGCATCAGTCGCAGAATGTGTAAATTCGTTTAGTGGAATTCGCTCGCGTTATTTATCACATTCCAAATTTTAGCAAACTCTCTGCAAATTTTTTAAATTATTCAAAATATAAAAATTGTAAACGGAAAACATTTTATTTGATAAATAAATTATTTTTAATATTGTTTCTAAATACAAATAATTTCTGTCTACACAGTATACTTTCGGTATTTTTATCACATTCAACAGTATCAATAGCAAACTTTAACAAATATAGTAATGGAAGTGACTTCAAAGCGTAGTACATTTTATGTCTTACATATATTCTTTTTTGTAAAGTACAAGTTTACATAAATCTTAAAAGTTTTTAGGCGATGTTCATATTAGTTTTTTTTTTTTTTTACTATAATTTTATTAACAGTAGTTTTGATAGAAATTTACTTATAGAATAAATTATTGCCATTTAACGGGTCTTGGGCAGTTAAGAACCATTTATTAGTCATATTCAATTATTATAGATTCTTAAACTTTCTTTCTTAATTCTACTGAAATTAAAAAATTTTTTGTTTTTATCTAAATAAATGATTCGAAAATACGAATATTTTCGCATAAAATATGCCAGTCAATGTTCATATTCAGAAATTCTAAAAGCATATACGCATTAGTTTTATTAATTAGAATTGAGAACATTTCTAAACAGTAAATATACTCTTTTATGCTTTTTTATATGAAATCGCTTGACTATTATTTTTATTTATTAACAACTACTGTCAGTAACTATATTGTAGAGAGAAAAAGAAATTTTAATCATTTGTCTAACTTGTAGACTGACTTTTTAAGCTCTGTAAGATAATTTCTCATCATTTATGTATAAACAAATATGAGTATAATGATTGCATTAACATCGTGTACTTTACCTACTGGTCCGCGAGAAACATAGTCAAGAAAATATGTCATTTAAAAGAGTCACATTGAATTATTAAAGTAATCTGAAATATACGTTCGCAGTTCCTCTGTAAATAGGAAGATATATTAAATTTAGAAATTAAATTTAAAATGTTTAAATGTGAAGTCTGTATTTTGTACATTTAAATTTTTTCTTCAAAAATTGTAAATAAAACTGTATATAAAATTAAAAAGATGTAGAATTTAGATAATTTTTGTCGTCACTAATCATTGAAGTAGTATTATAGTGTGTTTCTTGAACAAAATAAATGTTATTTTAAAAAAATTTTCTCTTACTGTTACTGTAGTAATTAACTTATTTTCAAATACTCTTTTCTGAATCCAACATTTATGGGTTAGTTTTTACTAAAAACGAATTTTTCGTTTGTCGGAAAGAAATAAAAACAGCTCATTTCGATTGTGAGAATAAAAGTCTGCTATTTGGCAACGAGCGCATTTAGGGTAGATAATAAATAAATTGAAAAAAAAATTGATAGCTCTTATAGTTATAATACATACACTTTCCATTGTGTTATAATTTTATCTCAGCATATATAGATAATATTTATGCATTAAAACAAATTTGCTTAGGTAAAATTATAAATAAAGTCACGTAATATTTAATAAGTGGAAACTATCACAACTTATTTAATTTTACTTTTCTTGTTGTTAAACAATCATACTGTTTCCAAAAGATGAATAAAAAATGTTGCTTGTGTATAAAGACTTTCTTTCAATAGGGACGTCTCGATACCTAAATTCAGAGTCACTGAATAGTGCACGTCAATGGATGTGACAAAGCATGGTCTAATAAAACAGGTGTCCCTGCTGCTAGTTCTGTTTTTGTATCGCTGCATTCATCATCAAAGTCAAAATAATTGCTCTGCAAAGAAAAGTATGTGAATTTCTATTGTTTAGATTAATTAATTTTTTTTGAAATATAAGTGAAGTATAATTTATTTAGTGTTGTTAATGTTTTTACTTGACAATCGATGCACCGACAACTGTCGCTGAGACTGCAAGTTAACCCAAGAATCTCGGCAGCTTCTTTGTAGAGTTCTGTACTAGACTTGCGTTGCCGACGAGGTGATGTAGGTGCACTTACAGACCCTAAGCTGGGTGCAACTCTATCGCTCTTCATTCTTGATGAACAATCTCGAGATAATGACGATGTCGATGTCGAACCTCCTTTTCGATTATCCTTCCTAACAAGAGCTCTGCCAGCAGGCGAAGCGAATAATTGCAGCATATCCATATTCTTAAATGGAAAAATATTAATTTATTATTTCCCCAACAGCCTTCTATAGCTAAGAATAGAAATAATTAATTTTCTTTAAAAATTAAAACCCATATATATTTTTCCAAGTGTCCTTTAATCTAATTTTCAAGAAAATGCTCGTATGCATAGAGGCATAATTCCTAATTTCTTAAGTAAACTTTTATTACTGGCGGAAATTACCTAAATAAGGAAGGTATAATTTTCTGCCTCTTAACAGGTTTTTTTAGTCCTGCACTTTAAAACGCAAAGTAAAATATTCAAAATTCTCTTTTTGTACCCACTCTGAAAATGTGAAGAAAAGGGATTTATAAAGTCGTGACTTTCTAAGCTCTCTCATAAAATACCACGTTTAATTAGTTAACCATTTTTCGACGACTGTATAGTTAAAATCTTTTCTCTTTTACTTGAAGAAGACTTGTTAGCGAGAAAGATATTATTCTTTTTACCAAATCACTCAAGGGTGAATATATACAGTAGTAGGTACTTTAAAGGAAATAAAAGGAGAACTGTTCGTTTTCTACAATAAATGTAACTTGAATTTGTGAGCGTGAATTTTTTAAAAGTCATTACTTAGATGGAAGACTGAAAAATCTGGAAAAGTAGTAAAAGTCAGAATCCAACACAGTTATCATAAGCAAAAGCTTTTACTGAGATTAAAGTGTTTGTGAAAAATTCCATGTCAAAGAGAAGTACTATTATGCTGAGAAAAAAGAGCTGATTTTCGAGAATAAATGCTATTCTTTCAGATCATAATAATGTGTACTTAAGACTCAATTCATAATTGAGAATCTCTATTTTATTTATTCAGCGCAAATATATTTTTAGAAAAATTACTTTTTTACACTTTTATACATTACAAAAAATAAAAATTAAATTCAATAATGTCTTATTTTTTCTGAAGTAAACTAATAATGTTGGCATAGCTTCTTTTTTTATTAGATGATTTACATCTTCTCAAGAAAATGGTAGTTTTTTACATATCATAAGCAAAATGAAAGAATTGCAAAAAAACTCACGAAACGGAAGTATAGTTCCATCATATGCTTCTGAATTAAAAAAGCTGTATAAATATAGTTTTATTTATTGGTTTAGACGCTTCTTGTACGTCTCTGAAAACTTTAGATTTTCTGAAAAATCTGAAAAGCTTCAAACTATATATAAATGTATACAATGCAATATGTCTCAAGGGATCAGAGCTCATTTATATATAGTACCTGAATCGATTCCTTTATCTTGCATAATATTTCAGAGATACTCTGAGATCACGGAAATTTTTCTAATTTATCAAAAAGGTTTGTGAACCATAAAGAGCAATTATTGAAGTAATTAAAAAATTGATATTATAAGGAGATCCCTAATCGCAAGAAAAACAAGCTTTATCTGAGAACAGTTAAAAATTGCATTATGAAATTTATATTTGATTCAATTAAAATTTTTGTTAGTCCAGAGAAATTTATCGCTGTTCTAGATGAAACTTCTTTTCCGTGCACTGAGAGACCTTTGAGACTGTAGCGGAACAACGTATGTGACAGCAGCTCCACTATGGTTTTGGTGCGCTGCGGTAAAATTTTGGGCGCGTGACAGTCCCAAATGTTGGTGAGCAGCTCACCGAAGTAGTGGGAATGCCGCCTTCGGTTTGCAGCTGAACAACTTTGGGACTGTCACGCGCCCAAGATTTTACCGCAGCAACCCAAAAGTATAGTCCTGTAGCGTTCCTCCAAAGGTCTCTCAGTGTGCGGTACTCTCATTGTTAGTGTAACAAAATTCTTAAATTTAGAATTTATGTTTGAAAAATTTTAATTCGATTATAAAATATATTTATTTATTATTTTAAAAAGTTTTTATTATCACTTGTTTGATTAAACAAAAGTGAACACTTATGTTTGGATTAAATGAAGTACTTCCTCAGTGTGAGGTTAATATTGACTGCAGTACTTACCGTCATTATTGCCGACTGATCCAATACATAGATACTTTTTGTATAGCCACACAACATTGTGTCTATATCTGAAAAATTAATTATTACCTTTATTATTATTTTCAAGATGTCCTCTAGAATTTACTTTTGTTTTTCTTATTTACCGCATAAATGTTACACATAAAATTCTGTACGTCAATTATGAATGAATCAATCACATTAATTTTGTAATTGAGGATGCTCATGCAATAGAGCAGCAGGCGCTCGGACTGTCTGTCCCAACAGCAATATCTACTTTCAGTTACGTAGAGGGAAATAGAATCTAGAGCCCACCGAGAAAATCAAAGTAGGTATTTCGGTTGAGACAGACAGTTCGAGCGCAAATTTGAGTTTATCGAATAAATATATATATTGATCTGTAAATTAAGTTAACTTTTTTTATTTCTTAGTTTTGGTTTTCGCACTCACAGTTTTTCTGTGGATATCAAATTGAAACAAAAAACGAATCAAAATTGTTGCGAAGCAATTCGTTTTTTGTCTCAATTTATTGATATCAATTGATATTTTTAATAAAAAATAATTCATTACAATCAAATATTTTATTTTATTTCAGAAAATGATTAAAATAACTACAAAGCTGAGTTTATAAGAAATATTGCATTTAAAGAAATTGAAAAATAATTTTGCAAATCTTTGTGAAATTCTACTACACGCACAGATAGAGATCGTTTACAGTACAGTGATGCAATTTCCATGCAATCAAATGACAAACATTACACAGAGAGCAATGTATATGAAGACTTGAAATTCTATATGCAAATTATCATTTCAAGCATCAGAATCAATATCGAATATGCTATGATTTACACCTTTGAATAAATAATGAACTTGTCGATTGCATCTTATAAATGGGGTCATATTTTGACAAACTATAGCCAACTAAAATTTTGCAACATTTATATGAATCTAATGGGATTTTAAGTACCGAATATTGTTTCTTTTTGTAAATTACCTTTTTTTATACAAATTTTTTTTTTATTATTTCTTTTATTAGAATTCTTTTATTATTTGAGTCTGTGCGATTCTTCAATAGAGATCTAATTTTTATGATACATCTTTATTCTCTAACATGTTATGTCACTTGGTAACTGATTAGAGATTCATTTATTTTTGCCACGTTCTGCACGTGCATTCAAGCGATATCAGTAAGCAGACAGCTAATTAATTATAAAATTATTTTTTGTTACCTGAACCTCTGGCCGCCTCCACCAACCCCTCTTGACTGTTGGGTCGTGCTTCTAGCATTTTTTCCGCTTTCAAAATATTCCCTTTTATGTCAAACAGTTTCAGTGCTAAAATGCAAATAAAACTTAATAAATATTCAATTACTTTTTCCTCGATTTAATTATATTTTTCTCTTGAAATTACTGCCAATAAAGGTTTAATCAATATCTATAATAATTAAAAAACTTTACTCTATAGAAACAGTTCGTGAGCATTTTTTTTATTTTCTATTTCCATCCTTTACTAGCTATAAAAGAGACGAAACTAATTAGTTTGTGACAAATAATTATCAACGAAACTCGAGTCAAAGTTTTAGTTCTCTTTTGTCTCCCTCAGACTGTTAATTTTCGATGGAAATTAAGAGAATCAAAATGTAGTGTGTAATCTTATATATGTGTAAAACTCGGTTTTAATTTTCTTTACTTTTCACTTAAATAGGTGCCAGCAGTATATATACTTGATGTAAAAAAAATTCTAAAAATCTTCTAGAGGAATTTGCGTGGAAATTCTAGATTATTTCAAAAAACATTTTATGTTACCTAAACTATTTTATTTTACTTAAAGATATGTTTATAGTTTAAAATTCTTCTATAATATAAATAATTTAGTAATTGAAAGCAAATGATATTAATAAATATTAAATTATATTTAAAAAACAACCAATTGCGGTGAATAAAAATTGCGGTGAGTAGAAACTGAATTTCTACTCAATCGGATTATTGCGATTCGCCAGGGATGTAATCGATCAGAGTATTAAAAATTCTTTAACGGTTTTTCTAAGTACTGATACAGAACACTCATCTTGAAAATCAATAAAAAAGTATAAATATATATATATATATACATTTGACAAGATACAATAAGAAAGTTTTTATATTGGCAACATATATGAGTTGAAGAGCTCTTTAAAATTCTATGAAAATACGCTCACTGCTTCTGAATGATCTTTTTAGTTCTTGACTTTTCAGTCATCTTTTGTATGAAAACTCTACAAAATGTTCGTGAACTAAAAAGCAAGAATCTAGTTTAGTATAATGTCACGGAATTGTATACTTGTCACAATATCGTGCATATTTTTATCTTATTCAATATTCTTTGCCATTTATTATAATGACTCCATTTCTAGTATAAATATAATGACATATTGTACAAATTACAAAACATAATAATAAGTAAATCTTTTTAAACTTATATGGCTTTTAGTTGTTATTATACACATTGGTATATTGGAATAATAAAAATCAAGCATTAAGAGAAAATTTTTAAGAGAAAACTTATCTAATGAGGATTGGATTTAGGGCAAGAGCTTTTAAAAAGCCAATATTGAAGTAAAAATCGTTGACCATTTATGATTGTGCGGAAAACTGAGTTTGCTGGGAATAAAAAACTTTTTTTCCATTTACACTATTAAAATAATTGTATTTTATTAGACTATTAAATTTCTTTTTATGAAATTGTTATTAAATATTTTATAATTGCAATTTTTTTCTTCTTTAAAACTTGGTTTTAAACTTAATTCAACTTTAAATTGAATGAGCAATTAGTAATTGTTAAAAGTGTCTCCAGTTTTTAGCGCTAGTATGACTTTCCAGTTCCAATTTAAACCACACGCTTGAATTAAATCGTTAGCTTCACCAATATAAGCGGTTTGTAAATGGCACGGCGGTTTTAAGCCAAGCTTATAAGAATTAAACTTTAATTGAAATATTGTCTACAATTCTTCAATTTAAATTTCTGAGGGAATATTGCCGGATAATGAGTTTTTAATAAATCTCATAAATCTTTCAGAAGCTATCATATTCTAATAAGTTTATATATACAACACGAGTTTCTGATAAATAAATATAGTTCTGATTTTATTATATCCTCAGTACTTGATTTGATTGAAGAATAAACCTCCTCTAGGACTGATTTTCAGAAAATGAACCTTATTCTTTGCCTTTTGAACAAGATATATTTATTACACTCTCTCACAGTTTTTCAAAGGATATCAAAGGATATCAAATTGAGACTCACTACTATTAAATTTAAAAAATAAACACATTTTTTAGACTTGAAACCTTTAATCCAAAACAATATATTTTTGAATATATTCAAATAAATATTTTTAAATGACAGTAGTAGATATTTTCTAATATTAGGATTATGAAGTATAATTTCACTTACGAAAAAGTAATAAAAATAACAAACAATATTTTGTACATAACAATAAATGTGTGTTAATTTAAAGTAATTATAATAAATGTCTGCATACTGTTCGAATCAGACACTTATAGCTCTATCCATATCGATGTCCAAATATAATGTTTCTCAAATATTCTGCATATTCTAATTATTGATATTATGATTTTAATATGCATATAATAGCACATGCATTATTAAACTTTAAATCCTGATTAGATTTCAAAATTAAAATAACCACTATTTAATTTTTTCAAAAAGATTTCTACAAGTTTTAATTATTCAATAACTTGACAACAATATTGAGTTTCTAAATTACCAAAAAGTGATGAATAAACAATAGTAAGTATACTCCATATGGACATTGAGTGATTTACAATACAGGTCTTTTCATCCATTCAAAAGGTTAAATTGCATCAATTCAAATTTGATAGGATAGAATTGGATGATGCGACAGTAGTGAACAATTTATTGTTGATTTTTAATTAAATTGACAAGTTCAATAATAGGGTAAAGATGTTTGAAAAATAGTGAGATGAATGAGAAAAATAATATTCATTTTCAAAAAATGATATTTAATAAAACTTGCCTGGTACTTTAGTACGAAAGTTAATTCAGTTTGCAAAAGTTTTCCCCGTTCATTTTAGCCAATTATGAAGTTTATTAGCCCATTGGTGTTATCATTCGATAAATTAAAAAATTTTAAACGCTGGGTCATCCGGCAGATTTAAAATATTGCCCTTTTGACACGTTCATTACAACAGTTTGTAATTAATTAAATTCTTCGAGCGTCCAGCAAAGAAACAAACCTCGTTAAGTAGTTTATGTAAAATAATTAAGAGCTCAAAAGGGATGATTGATTTTTTTATGTGGAGTTGAACAAGCTCCGTGAAATGATTCACATAGTGATTTTGCATTTTATGCTACCGACACAATTTGCAATGTGCACTTCCTAGATTTTTCAGTGATAGATATTTTATTTTTCCATTGAATCAATACATTTTTCCGCTTATTCTGTCTCACTGTACTGTGAATCATCTACAACAGTTGAAATTTACTTATCGACATTATTCTGAACAATTTGTATAAACTAGTTTTGTAGTTTGCATTCGATTTAGCTACAATGGGTTTGAACAGTACTATTTAGCTCCCTATTGATTTAATGATTCGATGCGTCGCAAGCAAAAGCAGCAATTTTGGCATTGTGCGGTTGGGTAATATTTTTTTTATCTCGTTATTGTACTCTATTTGCGACGCAAATATAAAACAATATAACAAACATTGATGCATTGTTGTCATAAATCTTTTTTTATACTATTATTCTAATATTTATTGTAATTATATAAATATTTGCAAATTATAGTGTGTCAGCGTATATATATATATTCCCCTTTAATGTTATTTTAAACCAGTAGATTTAATTCATTGTGAATATTGACGAACGAATAAACTAGAGCAATATTAGTTTAACATTTAATCACTTTTATTCAACAATATTCATTCATATATACATATGTAGTCTACCAATGAGAATTGAGAGCTCGTTACGATTGACACCAATAATTGGAGTCTCGATGGCGAATAAATGATGCTCTCATATTTGGACATCAATTTCAGAAATAAAATTACGGTTCGAAGAAATTGAATATGTACCTATACAGAGGCGAAAATTTAATTTCGAATGCTGAAAATTATAAAACCCTCCCAATAACTCACTCTTTTCCTCTCTTTTTTTTATTATAAATAATTGGAAGCAAACGCAGCTTTTACAAAAGCTTCATTTTTGTTCTTTATGCTTTTTTCAATGCAATTAATTGTTGCAGAAATGAAAAATTTCAAAGTTATTTTCAATATCAGCACATTCAATACCAATATAAATATTTAAGGCTTTATCTAAAGCAAAGATTAATTGAATATTTACATGATTAATGGGAGAATATTATACTGGGGAAAAGAATGTTCCGAGGCTTTTACGACTATGGGGTCCACAAGGAGGATGTGACTGTCTGCTTTTGTATTTTATTCCTCATATAAATATTCTCTGTATTCGAAAAATTAATGGAGCTGAAATTTTTTATTAAAACGTGATCCATAAGTTCTGAACGTTCTAATGAAAAAAAATTTTATCAATATATTGTCAAATAGGTAGCAATAGATAGCAAAAATGAAATTAAACATTTAGAAAATTTATAATTTACATTTTGATACGTACTGCAATATATTACAATAAAAGTTGAAGAAGAAATAAATCAATAGTTCGCTTGAATGTTCCGAACTTTAGGGACATATTAAAATGTATTGATGTTTTGTTTAAAAAGTGTTGAAATAAAAAATTTAATTTTAGAAAAATGTGTTGTACAAAAATAATAAATTAGCATATAAAATAAATATTTATTATTGGCACGTAAAAAATATGCTATTGGAATATTAAAAAATTATGAAATACCTTAATTATTGAATCCTTGCATTAACATGGTTTGTCGAAGAATTCCTGTTGATCCTTGAAAAATCCTGTAACAGTAAAATGTAAAATGTAAAAATTAAGAGTTATACCTAATAATAGTTGATTTTAATTGTAATTATTAATTTATCAATGATTCTAATTTGATGAGTGAATGTGGGTAGGGGGTAAGAGAGTAATAGTAGTAACCCTTATTATCATACTGTCAGAATTGAAATGTTTATAACAAACTTTTAAAGTTTGTTAATAATTAATTATAATTATGGAGTTGAGTTGTATGCATTATTTCGAAGGATTAAACTTCAAAGTAATTTATTCATTGATGAAGGTTTAGCTATAATATTATACACAGAAGAAATTTTCAAATTGATCATTATGTTCCATATTTTTTCTATTTTATTTTATTATCTGTAAATAGAAGAAAATTTCTGTTTTTTTTATCAATATGTAACTTTAGTATAAGAAGAAAGGTTAATAGGTTTATTACTTTAGACGCACTACATCGATGTATTTACCAACTAAATTAATTAAAGCAAAATTTACTTTAACTTCTCATACAAACGTTATCTCATGTATAGCATTTGATGAGTGTATTTTAATTTTCAAGAAATGATTACAATTTTGTTAATTCATTATACATACATAGCGCTCGAATTGGATAATACAGCCAACCAATTTTCTGCGTGTATAATAATGAAAGTACATTTATATTATAGGTCATACCGACCTTTTAATTAAACAGTATACACATACACTTGGTATGTACGATACAAAACAACAGCATAGTATTGATTTTCAGCATTATAATGATTTCCTATTGTAATCATGATAATTAAAAAATATCTACTACACATTAGTGTAATTAAAGAAAAGAATATTACTTCATTTCACACAATTTTAATTTCTTATGAAAACAATTAAATTAGAAACATTAAAAGCAATTAATATTTTAGCACTGAAACTGAGATATAACAAGACTGAAATAATATTGAACCAAACAAGTGCTAAGGTATTATTTCTTTTTATTAACTCTCCACTGTGACTTCTATTTGCAGAGTTATTCTATTAAAGAATATTGACCCCAATTTTGTTTGCCAAATCCCTTAGTCCTTTCAAGTACTTGAAATTTATATAGTGGAACGCATTATCAAGTCCTTGAGATTGCTTTGAAATTAGTATTTGGTAACCTCAATAAGGCTTCCAGAATTCGTAAAAGGGGATTCAGCTCACTGAAACAGCCGGCAATTATTAATGCAGGAATTATGTAACGTGAAATGTGAAATCCGTCGAAAATTTAACAATATATTAGAGTTTAATTAAAGGAAATTTCTTTCAAACTGCACTTGATGATAATTTAAATTTAATAATATATTTTTATTATCTTACTAATCTTAGTTATAATTCCTTTTCTGCATGCACGGAGAAAAGCTTCACCTGAATTAGCAATATGTTTTTCCACAACAGCGAAAGTATTAACAGAAAGAAGTAAAAAGTTTGTGAATACAGCGAAATTTGTAGCTGTTCCAAGTGAAGCTTTTTTCCGTATATGTTAAAAAGTTTTGTCTTTTGCATGCGCCCATACAGCACCGAAAGTTTCTTGAAGGTTGAAATTGACATTGCACGAAAGTTCAAAAGCTCAAATCTTCAAGAAACTTTCGGTACTGCGTGGCTGGCTGGTCATTTTTGTATATTCTTGATGATACTATAAATTCTAAATAAGAAAACTTTGTTAACTATATAACCCATTTTTAAACAGTAAACTTAGTTCAGCTGAAGTTTCGCAAGCCCTATATTTATGAACAGAAAGCACGATTAGATTTAAAAACTACATTTTATATCCTTTTACAAGACCTATAATTTAAAAAAATACGTCCGTCATATGAAAATGTAATGCATGGTTTCATATTCATAAAATGACATTTTCTAAAAATTACTTTCTACTTTCCTGAGTTGAAAAAAAGAGAATTTGAATTTTTGCTTGGCTAAATTTAAATGAAAATTTTGAAAAACTATAAATATTAACATATATTTGAATTGTAAAGTAAAAATATCAAGTGTTGTGCTTTAAGAAGGAGACAAGTTATTTATTCAATTGTTTTCTTAAAAACTCTCACCAACACCTTACAAGATATCTCATTTGAAATGAGAAAAGTTTTTCATGCCTGATTATGAACAAGTGAAAGAAATTGCTATTTGATGCAAGAAGAAACCACAAACTGAATTAAATGAAAGTAGAAACGACATCTACAGAATCGTCTTTTGAAAGTGACAAAAAGTTCTGAAAGTTGGTTCAAAGCGATAAAAGCTTTTGGTTGAATCACGGGAAAGCTCAACGTGTCGAACCACAGCACTCAACCATTCGTCTCGGTTCACCTTTCAGTGTCGAATACACATACAATACCTATATATTCACCTATACATACGTCAAATTTGTCTCTCGACATTTTTTCAATTACACACCCAAGAATATATGAGTCATCTTTCTTCTCAATAGCTTTTTTCATTTTTATTTATCAACTTTTTTCATTCTAATGCATTCGGAAAAAATATGCTCCGAGAAAAATTAAATTTCAAACAACTTTGGTTGAATAACTACATGTGTTGATATAAAATTATTATAATCATCAAAGATATATGTTTCATTCATTTGAATTAAATAAAGATTTATTAATGTTAAACAACTATTTAAAGTTACCTAGAACTTTTGATTTAAATATATAATTCTTCTTTGACAATAACAATTATAGCAAAGAAAGAATATTCTACTCTTATCGTGTTTAGTGTGCAATCGAATTATAAGTGTAAAAGGTCATCCAGTAAAAGCGCACTTAGTTCTCCTTATAAAAGTTAAATGGATCGGCCCAATAAATATAGGTCGTACAACGTTTCACATACGCCAACTCTTATAGGAAATCTAATAAAAAATTATTCTGTTATATAGTAAATTCGAAAAATCTGTCTGCAATATCAATTCAGTTCTCGATATTATATCTAGCGATGTTTAAACTATTTAAAGCATAGAAAATAGTAATAATAGAGAACAAAATCAATAAATCTTTATCTTCAATTATTCAACCAAGCAAAGCAACAATGACCTTTTATATTAATGAATTATATTATAGAACGTGATGCATTATTTGCATAATTTTTTACCTTTAAACTAAAATCAACAAAATAGAATAGCGATTTTCAATTATTCAAATGTCTCCTCATGTATGAGGACATTCTCAATAAAACGGAATTATATTTTTAAATTATAAAAAATGCAATCTTTTTATAAATTTTAAATTTAGTGCTGAAATTTGATAAAATTGTAGACTGAATCCATTTCAAATCGGAGCTAGGTATGAGTGTGGAATAATTTCTCAAATGAAAAAATAGTTAAAAAACTAAATCGTATTTAGAAATTGAACTTTTAGAAATTGAAATATAATATCAATCTTCCGAGTGTAAACTTATAGCCATAGGCTGAGACTAATCTCTGTAAGTTTGTGATATTTTCGTAATTAAGTGATATAAATGAACTTGATGAATATTTCAACTGTAGAAACATGTAGAAAGTTGTCTGAGAAATTTCTAATAGAATTGTTATAATTGAAATAATGAAACATATATCAACATTCCATTTCCGAGCGCTTCATTAAATTTGGATGCAGTTCACGGTATAATGTCACGATAAATTTTCCAGTTTTCTTGTCAAGTGTCACAACTTTAGGCATCACAGTAGTTTGTCTCGCGTCATCAGTTTCATGGAAAGTAAATATAAGCAAAATGGTATTTGACCAGAAATAGTACTCACTGCATATATAGCACTCAAGATTCAAACAAACTTCTTGCATCCTCAGTTTAGTATTAATTACGAAAATGCACGGATAGTTTTCAAGCCAGGGATTAAATCGTAACTTTCCATACATTACTTCAATTTGATATTTAAATGAATCTCGCCCTCGTCTGCGAGAAAATTTTCACTAAATTTGAACAGAGGTGCAATATTTTCGGAAAAATTTCACAATGAAAATCAAAAGCTGAGAGAACTTTTATGTAAACTAAAAGAATTGCTTTCGAAAAAACTGACAAATTTTAGCTGTACCTGTATTTACTGTATTTCCTTCAGTGGAATTCTTTAAACATTAAAGAAATTAAATTTTCAAACTACTTTATATACGATTGCTAAAAAAAAACTAAGGACCTATATGCCAATTCAAATTCAAAGTACATAGTAATATTTTAAGCAGCAAAAAACATAATTATTTGTCAGCCAACAAATTAGTAATCTAAATATATTCTCGCCTTTATTTATTCATTTTTTCGTTTTTTTGATCCAAGATAGCATTCAAGTTTTCTGAAAGTTTATAGCAAACTTGTAGCAAATAGCAAAACGTGACCAAGGTAGCAAGTTTGCATTGCAAATTTTTAGGAAGTTTTCGTGGCAAAGATAAAATTAAAACTAATGCCCAAGAGTTTTCTACGTTAAACTATAGGGCTGCGCAATAAGTTTTAATAACTTTCCTCAAAGGATCAGTAATATATATATAGATATACAGAGATATGAAAATACACACATACTTTATGGAGAGAAAAATTTTCAATTTCCTCTAAAAACTGATTGCAAAGTTCCAGCAAGTTTCCATCATAAACCAGCCATTTAGTTTCGACAGTTTTCTATTTGCCGCAAACTTGCTCAAAAAATGTTTTGACAGTGTATTTTCGCACAGTTGTTTGCATACGAATTTAAGCCTTTGAATTTTCTATAAAATTTCTTTTCTCGGAAAAGTTTTACTTTTATAAAAATTCTAAAATAACATTTCCTTTTTTTTCTTTATTGTGACAATTGTGCTAAAATACTTTCCTTCGGAAAATTTCCACTTTTCATCATTTTAAAAAAAAACCAGAAACTTTATTGAAATACGATTTTATTATTGAAAAACTGTAGTATAAATAAGTACATAAGAAAAAATTTATTTTGGTAGAATACGATGTTTCTACGAGCATCCAATATTATTTTCGAGATAAAAATTGACAGCCTACACTGTTAAAAAAGATTGTAAAT